TTCCATTAGCAATGCATACTTTGTACAGAAGCAAGTTAACTCGTACCATTGTAAACTCGTACCACGTAAACTCGTACCAACGTAAACTCGTACCACTGGGAAGTCGTACCAATCAGACTCGTACCACTGCAAACTCGTACCATTAAAAATATATTCAAAAATACGAAAGTTTTATGATTTTTTTTTTGGTAAACTAAATAAAAAAAGTTGAATTACTTGAATTTTATACTAGATTTTAATGAAAACTTAGACAAAAATATGAATGTTTTATGATTATTATTTTTTTAAGCTTTATACAAAAAATTAAAATATCTTTGAAATTTATACCAGATTTTAATGAAAACTTAGACAAAAATAATGTAATTTCTTAATTACCATGCTAATAAATATATTAAATTCCTTTGATTGTGTGATTATTGGTTGATTATTAACTAATCAACTTGTTTTTTTTTTATCTTTAACTAATCAACTTGTATAATCATATACGTGTAAGCATGGTCATACATATTCTGCTGAAATGTGCTGAATATTGTATAAAAATAAATTTCATACTTTCTAACTGTTGGTCATAAACAATTTTAAACCTTTAAAACACAATCAATAAATTCTTTCATTAAATAAAATTCCTTTTAGAAACAATAAAAAAATACCCAAATCTATTCAATGTTACTGATTTGGAATGATTAAAAATTAAATCAAATAGTTGTCAGTAAAAGTTTAAAAAAGAGTCTATTCAAGGGAGACAAAAAAGCCAATCTGCCACGGTTTTCTCTATCCAATTAGACAAGGAAAATTAGCTACAAATTGGTTATTGTAATTTCAAATTATATACATTTTACAGACTTAAGAGGTATTGAGTGAAATTAAAGTATATATTCATCATTAAACACCATTTGAATGCATTTAAATAAGTTGGTACGAGTTTACAATGGTATGAATTTACCGTGGTACGAGTTAGCAGTGGTACGAGTTAGCAGTGGTACGAGTTTGCATTGGAACGAGTTTTTGTTTAGTGGTACGAGTTGACATTGGTACGAGTTACAATGGTACGAGATAACTATAATTCCTTTGTACTCGTAACCTGGCAAAATATTAACTAGATTTATTCATTACAATCTGGATAAAACTATGTTAGCCTGATTCAATGTACATCAAAATGTATGTTATGTAAATCCAAAGGACAAACAATGAGAGACGTATGCAACAAACATACATTGTTTGTACCTAAATAACTATAATATAGATGAGAGCATGTCATTGTTTTGTTCCTGTTAACATTGTCATTGATATTTTTCAAGAAAGTCTATGAGGCAAAGCTTATGCATTCCTGTCATTACTACATAAGCATAATTACTGCTAAAATAATTCTCAGTATGATATACCTCTTGTAAGAAATCATTATAATTGTAGCAAGCACCAAAAAATCTCAAACAGATCACATTGAATCGTAATCCAAAAAATTATGACGTCTTGAATACACCTTATCGCTATTTAGTCCAATCCGGAAAAAACAGTCATTTAGACAACTTCCTGTTTGGGTCAACAGGCCGCAAACAAAGGTCATCAGTAACGAGCTGAGGGAGGGAAAAATTTAGAAAGCGATCAATAGGAAACTTTGATAGATTATGATCCACTTTTTCCAAACTCAAATTAAAGTCAAAAAAATATTGTGTTTGAAGTATTTACGATGTTTTAAACAGGTCTCATTAAAAAGTATCATGCATGGTGCATTGTTTAAACAGGGTCCCAGATAGCGTCAACTGGATGAAAAAGTTTTGTAATTTTAGAACTTATCCGGAATGGAATAAATAGCGATTAGGTGTATTAACCACCCCCTTTTATTCTAAAACGATAATTGCGGTTGTAAACTGACTTTGGTTTATTCGCATGGCGATTACATTTATAACTATATATTTTAAAAAGAAAATAGAGTTTTACCATGAACAGTTTCCTGCACGTAGTCTTTTTCAGTAAAATGTGCCTTGCAAACAACAGCTGATTGAGATGGACTCCACGATTTCATCGTGTTCTCGTCCAATCTGCGTATGGGCCATGGCGTTGATCCAACTTTTCCTTCTTTTTAAGTCATTTGGAAATGCATGTCCTCCTCTTAAATGACATCCAGGTACACAACAACAAGTACTTGGCATCGTTAATAAAATATGCAACTGTAATAGTTGCACAGTGCAGAAACCGGAAGTTGAAGTACAGGATCGGCTACCACGGCGCCACCTATTCAGGAACGATAATTTGCTACTTTATATAACTGCGAAATAACAATAACGTTAGACGGGTTCGCGTGCATAAACAGAAATGCGCTTTAAATTGTATAATATAATTCATGTTCAGTCGACCTTTAATTATTATATCAACGACTGAAATGATTTATAAACATCTAGATTGCAGATAACACTCGAAATTAACCCGTCCTCTTTCCACAAGGAATTCAAATAATTCTAGTTTGTCAATCGGTTGACTGCTTATAATGTAAAATACAAATATATCAAAAGTTTTTAAAACTAACAAAACACAATGATCGTTTCTCTATTTCCCAATGTAAATGAAATGAGACAAAAAACATTTTATACCACAATAAGAAGAGGAGAGAATCAACATTTTCCGGATCTACTTGGAGCTAAATGACCCCCCACGTAGATAAGTTGGATATCGCGGAAAGAAATATTAACACGGCAACTAGAAAGGCATTAAAGCACTGCCTTTAAAAATTACTTGATATTTAGGAAAATAAAAATTTTGCAATTTTTCCATTTATAAAGGAGCATAACTCTAGAACGGTTAAAGTGACTCCACCAAAATTCAAACTTGATCTGTGTTTTGTGGTAATAAGCATTGTGTATAAGTTTCATAACATTTGGTTGAGGCAAACTTAAGTTAGAGAACGAAAACTAAAAATTTTGCAATTTTTCCATTTATAAAGGGGCATAACTCTAGAACGGCTAAAGTGACGCCATCAAAATTCAAACTTGATCTGTGTTTTTTGGTAATAAGCATTGTGTATAAGTTTCATAACATTTGGTTGAGGCAAACTCAAGTTAGAGAATGGAAACCAATTTTGGGATGTACGTACGTACAGACGGACAAGGGTAAAACTTAATGCCCCCACCGCTACGGAGGGGGCATAACAAGTTTATTTCTGAGAAATTTGACCCTGATCTGGAGGAACCATAGACATTTAAATATTTCACCAAAAATCCAATTTTTTCTTCATTCACAAATCAAATTAATTCAGACAGGGGAAACTGCACTCAGAAAAAGAACTGGCCACAAAAAAAAACTTTCTGAAATATAATATTCAGTAATAAAAGTGATAAAACATCATTAATATCTTTTATTTACGAAGATTTGTAGATGTATCTAATAAATTAAAAATTTTCACTAAATTCTTACTTTTGCAGCCTTCGCACTCTTAAGATCCCTGACTTTATTACCCTGGGCTGCAATCTCTTCATTCAGTTTTCCAGCATCACGTTTTACAGAACTTGTTGTTGCAGGCAGTGTGGCCTTTGGTGGATCATCTGGTTTCCAGTCCTTACCAGTGGCAGCCTTATATTCAGCTTTCAGGGCTAACAGTATCTTAACTTCAGTATCAATCAACTCCTTAACATTAGGGAAAACAATATAATATTGAAAAAAAATTTAAAAAATTGTTTCACAGGTAAAATGTATCAATAAATAAATGTGGATAGTGTCCACATGTGGACACAGATGATGCCCCCGCTTGCATATCATATAGTTATAAAGGGACATAACTGAAGAACGGTAAAAGTGACACTACCCAAAATTTTGTGGTAATAAGCATTGTGTGTAAGTCTCATAACATTTGGTTGAGGCTAACTTAAGTAGAGAACAGAAACTAAAAATTCAGCAATTTTTCTATTTGTAAACACGAATAACTCTAGAAGGGTTGTGTATAAGTTTCCTAACATTTGGTTGAGGCAAACTAAAGTTAAAAACGGAAACAAAAAATTTGTACTTGATCTTAGTTTTGTGGTAATGAATATTGTGTATAGGTTTCATAATGTTTGGTTGGGGCAAACTTAAGTAACAGAAAGGAAACTAAAAATTTTGCAATCTTTCGATTAAAAAGGGGCATAACTCAATAATGGTTAAAGTGACAATACCCAAATTCAACTTGATCTGTGTTTTATCAGTGGAAGTCAAAATTAAACATTGCATTGTATAAAGCATTGATTGTAGTTGATTCAACTATTATCATGGACAAAGGAAGATAACTCCAATTTTAAAAAATAAAAATTACTTGATATTTAGGAAAATAAAAATTTTGCAATTTTTCCATTTATAAAGGAGCATAACTCTAGAACGGTTAAAGTGACGCCACCAAAATTCAAACTTGATCTGTGTTTTGTGGTAATAAGCATTGTGTATAAGTTTCATAACATTTGGTTGAGGCAAACTTAAGTTAGAGAACGAAAACTAAAAATTTTGCAATTTTTCCATTTATAAAGGGGCATAACTCTAGAACGGCTAAAGTGACGCCATCAAAATTCAAACTTGATCTGTGTTTTTTGGTAATAAGCATTGTGTATAAGTTTCATAACATTTGGTTGAGGCAAACTCAAGCTAGAGAATGGAAACCAATTATGGGACGTACGTACGTACAGACGGACAAGGGTAAAACTTAATGCCCCCACCGCTACGGCGGGGGCATAAAAATATTCCTCTCTAAAACATAGAAAAACTTGCTATGAGGCTTAACAATTAAAATAAGTCGCTTTCAAGTGCTTAATTTTGGGAAATCAGCCACAAAGACAACTTTTATGACTAAACAATAGTGAAAAATGATGATGTTTCATTACAGAGGTCCTTTGTATAAAGTCATCAGCTATCAGCCAGAATATCAAGTTAACAATTCTGTCTCATAATAACTATCCTAAAAACTTTAAGACTTTTAAAAAATGTAAAGTAGTACACACATTAAATTATTGTTGTTTATGATAATTGTGGAAGTAACCTTTTACCTTTTTAGCTTTTTCAGTCTTAAGATTTCTGACCCTTTCTCCCTGAGCTTTGGTCCTGTTATATAAATCTACTACATCATGGTTAGATGATGGAGGGTTTTCTTCCTTTGGTGATTTTTCTGCTGCTTTACCTTTCTTACTCTGGGCTTTCTGTAAATACAACAGACTTGGCTATAAATCATTTGAAAATTATTTCAACAGTAGTGCATGCAAATATTTGGTGAAAAAAACAATCCTACATTGATTCATTAATATTCAATAAATCATTGTTTTTTTTTTTTCAAATGTGATTTCAACACTTTTATGTTAAACATGACAAAGGGTACATAATTTTTTTCACTTGATTTTCGTCATTTCTTAAGATACTTGAAAGGCAGAGATATAATTCAAACCGTCAAACTCATACCAGAAGTTTGAACATAAACAAGCCTATATCAATAGTTGTAAAACATATATTAAATAAAACTGCGTAATTTTTCAATAAATCATTAAAAAGTATTTATGGGATGTACATTTATTTTAATTTACTAATTTTGAAAATTCCTCAGGAATCTACCATGCTTCTTTTGACTCTTGATTTGTAAAGATTTACTGGAAAAGTGTAGTAATTAGTATTTAATCACTGGTTATCAAACATTGCAGTTTCTGAAAAAAGGGTGTTGAAATTGTCCAATGTTGATAAATTTCCATTTTCACTCTGAAATTTAAAATTGGTCATGGCTGGCAAATATAACCATTTTTAGATCCTTGATTAAGAAATTTACATGTCATTCTATTTAGTTTATCTATTCCTGCAGAATATGTTACATCTTTTTTAGTACTGACAGATAAAAAATTCTCTTTTGTTACTTTATTAAATTCTTTTTTTTTTAAATAAATTGGTGAATTTCACATCCAGTCATATTTTCATAATACATATAGTATTCTTACCTCTTTGGCACTGCCTTCCTGTTTATGCTTAGAACCAGCTGTAGGCATTTCTTTCTGATGACCGTCTGGGATATTCAGAAGTACACATGGACCACACTTTCCAGTGAAGACACTGCAACAGAACATATAAACTAATTCAAAACAAACACTTTTAAAGTATTGCTTGAGCTGAACCATTTGTGTTATTTTCAAGTTCAGAGGATCATAAAATTAACATGTATTATAAACCATGGAGTTAATAAAGTTTTGCAAGGAACACAGAATTATCAGAGAATTTCACTGTGTAAAAATTAGGAGATTTTTTATGGAGGATTTTACACTCCAAGAAGCCTAATAAACTGCTTCGCAGAGCGCAGCTAGATACGCCCGCAGAGGTCCAACCCTGAACAGTTGGGGCAAAAATGGACACAATATTCAAGCTTGATTCAGGTCTGAATTTGGATTGTAATTAAATATTTGACATATTATAGGTTTCTGAATAAATGTAGTCAAAGAACTTGAAATTGGTTATATGAATTGAATTTATATTTAATTAAAGATTTCTTGCTGTTGTGCAATACTTAGTAAATCTGTTATGAGACTATAAAAAAATAAAGTTCAATTAAGTCTCAATGTCATATTAGAAATTTATGAAAATAAAAAGGGAGCTTACATCAATAGATATAAACAATTCACCAAAGTTTCATGAGAATTGGTGTCAGCATTTTTGAGTTATTGTCCGAAAACTGGAAAATCACCCCTTTTTTTAATGAATAAAACCCGATAACTCGGAAACTTAAAATCTAAAATTTATAAAAATTGAAAGGGAGCTCTTGTAAATAGATATAAACAATTCACCACAATTTCTTGCAAGTTGGTGGAAGCATTCTTGACTTATTGTCTGAAAACTGGAAAATCCCCCTTTTTTTAATGAATAAAACCCCATAACTCGGAAACGTAAAATCTAAATTTTATAAAAATCGAAAGGGAGCTCACGTCAATAGATATACACAATTCACCAAAGTTTTATGCAAATTGGTTAAAGCATTTTTGAGTTAATATCCGACATGTTGACGACCGACAACTGTATACCATAATATGTCCCGTAAACGGGCGTATAAAAATGGGATCTTTTGGTTTGCTTAAACAAGGATTTCTTTTATTATCTCAGTTGGTACTTCAAAAATCAATCCACGTTATTTGAAAATGTCCCAGTTTCAAAACAAGCTATCATACATATCCAAGGTAATGGCATAGGCAAAAGATTTGAAGAAACTGTTACCATAACTGCCTACCTGAAACAAATTGCTGAATTGATCCAAATAAGTGACTGACATATTAGATGTAGAAAAATTACCCATAAAAACCTACACATGAATAAATACCAGTAAATTCAGAATTTATTGCGGTGTTTTTATCATTCCAAAAATTGTAATGGGATATGTTTCGCAATACCAAATGCATTAATTGTATATATGCTTTACAGTTGTAGGTAGCAAATTGATGTGTCTTGTGATCCTAGTACATGTTTTAATGGAACAATCCTGAGTTTACAATAGTAACTACATTACCTCAGAGGTTCAAATGGCTGATCACAGATATAATATCCTCTCCTCTGGAGCTGGATTATGTCCCCTTTCTTCAGGTCTTTCAAACATGGATCTCCATACATTACATTGTCTTGCTGAAAATAAATAAAAGAATTGAGTTCCAAAGCCCCCAGCTTTTAAAAATAGTTGATCAGCACTGATTTTCGTACTTGTCAGAGACATAGCTGATATAAACCTATGATATAAGTTATATAAAAATCTGGCAAAAATTGTACATGTATGTGAGAGCGCTAATAAGACCAGATGTATGTCCCTGCAACACGTGGCGCAGGGACAATTAAGTCAGATTTGACCATATGCATTAAAATGCACCTTTTGATCCCAAAAGATACAATAGAAGCATTAATGCATTTGTAAGATAGACATATCTATACAATATTTAACAAATGATTCATGGCATTGACGGTCATATGGAGAGTAAAATATTATTTTATAAAAAACATGAAACAATTACTGCTTTTTAAGAGATTGAACTTCTACATTTTAATTGAATCCTTTCAGCAAAACTCTTTTTACATTCATGACATCACAATACAATGTAGTCATGTGCCTACTGTTCTGGTCAAATATATGATATTAGGGGACCGGCTATAAAGTTCGACAACGACGAGGGGGGGTTTTTAACGACCTTGACTACCCATGAGGGTCTTGCACGGTCGGATCTGGCTTGCTCCTTTTTGGGCATTAAATAATTTATTTTTACCTTATGGTAATTGATATAATTTTGAGTGACAAAAAGAAATAAAATGCTCCGCAGGGCGCAGCTTGATACGACCGCAGAGGTCGAACCCTGAACAGTTGGGGCAAGTATGGACACAACATTCAAGCTTGATACAGCTCTGAATTTGGATTGTGATTAAATATTTGACACAGCATAGGTTTCTGACACAGAATGAATGTGGTCTAAGAACTTAAAAATTTTAAATTGGACATTCACCTATTATGGTCCAATATCCAGAATCTAAATACATGGTTAGATTCAGCATATCAAAGAACCCCAAGAATTCAATTTTTGATGAAATCAAACAAAGTTTAATTTTGGACCCTTTTGACCTCAATGTGGACAAAGTTGATAACGGGGCCCAAAAATCAAAAATCTAAATACATGGTTAGATTCAGCATATCAAAGAACCCCATATATTCAATTTTTGTTGAAATCAAACAAAGTTTAATTTTGGACCCCGATTTGGACCAACTTGAAAACTGGGCCCATAATCAAAAATCTAAATACATGTTTAGATTCAGCATATCAAAGAACCCTAAAAATTCAATTTTTGTTAAAATCAAACTAAGTTTAATTTTGGACCCTTTGGGCCTTAATGTAGACCAATTTGAAAATGGAACCAAAAATTAAAAATCTAAATACACGGTTAGATTCGGCATATCAAACAACCCCAATAATTCAATTTTTGATGAAATCAAACAAAGTTAAATTTTGGACCCTTTGGACCTCAATGTGGACCAATTAAAAAACGGGTCCCAAAATCCAAAAACTTAATACACAGTTAGATTCAGCATATTAAAGAACCCCAAGAATTCAAGAATAAAACCCCATTGAAATTGATCAAGAAATAAGCAATTTATACGAAGTATCTTCTTTTGCACAATACTGTGCAATTGAATATTTCTTGCTATTGCGCAATACTGTACAATTGACAATTTCTTGCTATTGCGCAATATTGTGCTATTGGATATTTCTTGCTATTGTGCAATACTGTGCAATTGAAGATTTCTTGCTATTGCGCAATACTGTACAATTGACAATTTCTTGCTATTGCGCAATATTGTGCTATTGGATATTTCTTGCTATTGTGCAATACTGTGCAATTGAAGATTTCTTGCTATTGCGCAATACTGTGCAATTGAAGATTTCTTGCTATTGTGCAATACTGTGCTATTGAAAATTTCTTGCTATTGCACAATACTTATTATATAATAATTTACATATCCTGTTTGGTGTGTATCTCCTACCATATCATTATTATTTGCTTTTAAATATAAATCAGAAATAACCAACTTAAAATGGAAAATTTTAAAAGAAAAAAAAAAGGAAAAAAAGAAAAGAAAAAAAATCCCCCCCCCCCAAATTTTTTGAACCCCCTTATGATTCATCACCCCCAAACTCAATCACAGCCTTCCCTTTGTGGTATGGTACCTTGCAGTACAATTTCAGAGAAATCCATACACTTGAACACAAGTAATTGTCTGGAAACTAGAAAAATGCTTATTTTTGGCCCCTTTTTGGCCCCCAATTCCTAAACGTTTTGGGCAATTACCCCCAAACTCAATTCCAGCTTTCCCTTTGTGATATGGAACCTTGTAGTACAATTTCAGAAATATCCAAACACTTACACACAAGTTATTGTCATGAAACTAGAAAAATGCTTGTTTTTTGCCCCTTTTTTGGCCCCTTATTCCTAAAATTTTGAGGCAATTACCCCCAAAATCAATAACAGCCTTCCCTTTGTGATATGGAACCTTGTGGTACAATGTCAGAGAGATCCATACACTTACACACAAGTTATTGTCTGGAAGTTACAAAAATGCTTATTTTTGGCCCCTTTTTGGCCCCTAATTCCTTAACTGTTGGTACCATAACCCCCAAAATCAATCCCAGCCTTCCTTTCGTGGTATTGAACCTTATGGTAAAATTTCATGGAGATCCATTCACTTAAACTAAAGTTAGAGTGTGAAAACCAATGTGTCTTCGAACGACACCGACGACGACGACGCCGACGCCGCCAACGTCATACCAATATACGACCAAATATTTTTAATTTTTGCGGTCGTATAAAAACATAACATGAATAAAATGTGAAATGAACAATAATTTGATAAATAAAATAAATAAATAATTTGATGAATTTAAATAAAAGATAAAAATAAATAGAACCTAAAAAAATTAAAAAAATTAAAAATGAAAATTTTAAATATAGAAAAGAAAAAAAAAAAAAAAAAAATTAAAAATAAGTTATATAGATACAATTGATAAGCGTGGATTCTTGAAAAAGAAACCATGAGCCCGGAGGGCGAATGGTTTGTTTTTCATGAATCTACGCTTATCCATTGTATCTATAACTTAAACTATTGTGTTAATTTCTTTTCAAAATTAAAGCCTTTTCTTAATTAGAAGGTATTGTAAGTGAGTTTAAATAACCATGTTATCGTGTCCAACGATGCATTGATAATTCCCAGATCACAATTAATTGGTTAACAAAACACAAATATAACATTTCTTCCTTTAAAGATCTTTATATTATCAGGCATCTGAATATTATCTGTTTTTACAAAATAAGACATATTCGAACTTATTTCTAATAAAATTGAGAATGGAAATGGGGACTGTGTCAAAGAGACAACAACCCGACCAAAGAGCATATTTAAAGTATATATAATAAGTATGTTACCGAAATTTCTAGCACTCTAGGCACATCACGATTTTCTAGCATAGGAATTTGCGAACAAATATTTGTAAAATTATGTAGTAAAACAGATGAAATCATACTATATTTATACAACAAAAATTGACAAATAGAATGTAATCATTTTTGTTTCAAACATGTGAAATAGCCAATAATAATCCAAAAAATAAACGGTAAAACACGCTATTATTACAAAAATATCCACTATAACATGCAAAATTAGAAAAAAACAGAATTGTGACAACAGAGATAATACAGGGATTCGAACCTAAACTGACAAATCCCTATTTTTTAACTCGTTGATTTTAAGCATGCTAACCTCACGGCTACCAACTTATACTATACGACTGCCCATTGTGCATATATAAAGGTACAACCCCTGTGTGTCCCATGTTCATTTATATATATAAAATAGACATCTAAGTTGTAACCCATTGGTAGCCGAGAGGTTTCGTCGATGTGTTGATGTCAGTCATTCATAACAGATTTCAAGGAAGGGTTCGATTCCCAGTGAAGGCATATACAAATTACAAAAATTAAAGGTAAGTTTTTAAATTAATTCCATTAGTGAACAGAAATCAGTAAATTAGCCAATTCAAACTTAATGAAATTAGAAACACAAAGGAAACAAATGAATATAATTTGGTGAGTCCATTTCAGCGGCAGATTTAGGAAGCGTTGATTGTAGAAAAAGAATCCACGGTAAATGAATAGGCTGACGTCATCACAATGGTTTAAATGTGGATAGTGTCCACATGTGGACACAGATGATGCCCCTGCTTGCATATCATATAGTTATAAAGGGACATAACTGAAGAACAGTAAAAGTGACGCTACCCAAATTTGAACTTGATCTGAGTTTTGTGGTAATAAGCATTGTGTGTAAGTCTCATAACATTTGGTTGAGGCTAACTGAAGAAGAGAACAGAAACTAAAAATTCAGCAATTTTTCTATTTGTAAACACGCATAACTCTAGAACGGTTGTGTATAAGTTTTATAACATTTGGTTGAGACAAACTAAAGTTAGAGAACTGAAACGAAATTCAGCAATTTTTATGTATAAAGGAACAAAACTCAAGAATGATAAAAGTGTCGCCACCAATTTTCGTACTTAATTTGTATTATGTAGTAATAAGCATTGTGTATAAGTTTCATAACATTTGGTTGAGGCAAACTAAAGTTAGAAAACGGAAACAAAAAATTTGTACTTGATCTTAGTTTTGTTGTAATAAATATTGTGTATAGGTTTCATAATGTTTGGTTGGGGCAAACTTAAGTTACAGAATGGAAACTAAAAATTTTGCAATCTTTCGATTTATAAAGGGGCATAACTCAATAATGGTTAAAGTGACACTACCCAAATTCAACTTGATCTGTGTTTTATCAGTGGAAGTCAAAATTAAACATTGCATTATATAAAGCATTGATTGTAGTTGATTCAACTGTAATCATGGACAAAGGAAGATAACTCAATTACTTGATATTTAAAAGAAAATAATTTTTTTTTGCAATTTTTCCATTTATAAAGGGGCATAACTCTAGAACGGTTCAAGTGACGCCACTAAAATTCAAACTGGATCTGTGTTTTGTGGTAATAAGCATTGTGTATAACTTTCATAACATTTGGTTGAGGTAAACTAAAATTAGAGAACGGAAACGAAAAATTCAGCAATTTTTCCATTTGTAGAGGGGCATAACTCTAGAACGGTAAAAGTGACGCCACCAAAATTCAAACTTGATCTGTGTTTTGTGGTAATACGCATTGTGTATAAGTTTCATAACATTTGGTTGAGGCAAACTAAAGTTAGAGAACGGAAACAAAAAATTCAGCAATTTTTCCATTTGTAAAGGGGCATAACTCTAGAACGGTAAAAGTGACGCCACCTAAATTCAAACTTGATCTGTGTTTTGTGGTAATAAGCATTGTGTATAAGTTTCATAACATTTGGTTGAGGCAAACTAAAGTTAGAGAACGGAAACCAATTTTGGGACGTACGTACAGACGGACAAGGGTAAAACTTAATGCCCCCTCCGCTACAGCAGGGGCATAAAAATAAAAATAGGAGCCACCAAAAGCCGGAACAGGAGAAAAGGCCAAGCAAACGACAGTGAGCGGCAGCAACGTTATCATGGTACACCAGCAGCCAAGTAAAAGCAGAGAAATTTGATATGCCAAATTGTGTATGTGAATTTAGTTGCCAAAATATTTTGTATAAACCCAAATAGGCCTAAATATGTGTATGTGAATTTAAGAAAAATAATTAGTATAAGGTTTTATATGTACATAAAAAAAAGAATAAGTAAAAGAAAATAAGAGAAAACCAAAGGGTGTATGTATAATTTTGACTGCTTTGTGCTTAGCCTACTGTTATTGCAGGACTTTAGTACACAGGAGCGCTGTCCGCAGGAAGACAAACACCCCACGCTAATTAAATCTGGGTTAGTGCAAACCAGTATTATAAAGTTCGATAGATAAATAGAAGTTATGTACTAACCATAATATGAAAATGTATTTATCAGGTTAAAGCTGCAATTTTTTAAAATAACATCATAAATCAAAGTACAAGCATACCAATACATGTAATTGCTCTCATATTTTGCTAATAGTGTTTTTTTTAAATATAAATTGTTAACCTCTTAATATTTAGTAATACCATACTCCAGTAAAGGCATTGAAAGATAAAATTTACCTGAGAGTTCCTGTTGACATACTGTTTAAAGTCCTCGCCTTTTGCAAGTATAGGTTTAGTTATAATGTGATCATACTGGACACAATCACATGGAATGAATGGAGCCTTGTCTGTTACAGCTAACCATGTGATCTTCTGAGTCTTCTTATAGTCCTGAAGAGAGACCATTTCATTTTACAACTTAAGTATTTACAAATGATTAGGAAAACTTTTGGAAGAATATAAACATGCATCTAAGATAAGATCTATTTATATTTCTTTTACACATGAAAAGATATTTTTCATCTGTACCTTTACACTGCGGGATTTAGTTACAGTAAATGAGAATAAGAAAATCATGAAAAATAAATCATTGTCAGGGTTCACCACAGACTGAAAATCAAGGGTTGGGGAGAAAGTTCATCAAATCAGAGATTTTGTGTTGCGTTGTCGAATCGATTCCTTGTGCATGAATTATTAATTATATGCCTTACATGTATTTGTCATATATATAGCTAATTGGAAAGGGGTCTCACACAGATTTTGTAGTTGGTTCTATTAGTGGTCACCACACTTGTAGGAACATATTAAACAGGGAGAGTAAACACCTGATGTGGTTTCCCAGATTGCAGGAATATTCTGACAAATTTTATCTAAATTGTCTTATGGAAACCACATGGTAATAAAATGCTCCGCAGGGCGCAGCTTGATACGACCGCAGAGGTCGAACCCTGAACAGTTGGGGGCAAGTATGGACACAACATTCAAGCTTGATACAGCTTTGCATTTGGATTGTGATTAAATATTTGACACAGCATAGGTTTCTGACACAGAATGAATGTGGTCTAAGAACTTAAAAATTTTAAATTGGACATTCACCTATTATGGTCCAATATCCAAAATCTAAATACATGGTTAGATTCAGCATATCAAAGAACCCCAAGAATTCAATTTTTGATGAAATCAAACAAAGTTTAATTATGGACCCTTTTGACCTCAATGTGGACAAAGTTGATAACAGGGCCCAAAAATCAAAAATCTAAATACATGGTTAGATTCAGCATATCAAAGAACCCCACATATTCAATTTTTGTTGAAATCAAACAAAGTTTAATTTTGGACCCCGATTTGGACCAACTTGAAAACTGGGCCCATAATCAAAAATCTAAATACATGTTTAGATTCAGCATATCAAAGAACCCTAAGAATTCAATTTTTGTTAAAATCAAACTAAGTTTAATTTTGGACCCTTTGGACTTTAATGTAGACCAATTTGAAAACAGAACCAAAAATTAAGAATCTAAATACACGGTTAGATTCGGCAATATCAAAGAACCCCAATAATTCAATTTTTGATGAAATCAAACAAAGTTTAATTTTGGACCCTTTGGACCTCAATGTGGACCAATTTAAAAACGGGCCTCAAAATCCAAAAACTAAATTCACGGTTAGATTCAGCATATACAAGAACCCCAAGAATTCAAGAATAAAACCCCATTGAAATTGGTCAAGAAATAAGCAATTTATACGAAGTATCTTCTTTTGCACAATACTGTGCAATTAAATAATTCTTGCTATTGCGCAATACTGTACAATTGACAATTTCTTGCTATTGCGCAATATTGTGCTATTGCGCAATACTGTGCAATTGAAGATTTCTTGCTATTGCGCAATACTGTGCAATTGAAGATTTCTTGCTATTGTGCAATACTGTGCAATTGAAAATTTCTTGCTATTGCACAATACTTATTATATAATAATTTACACATCCTGTTTGGTGTGTATCTCCTACCATATCATTATTATTTGCTTTTAAATATAAATCAGAAATAACCAACTTAAAATGGAAAATTTTAAAAGAAAAAAAAAGGAAAAAAAGAAAAAAAAGGAAAAAAAATAAATCCCCCCCCCCCCCCCAAATTTTTTGAACCCCCTTATGATTCATCACCCCCAAACTCAATCCCAGCCTTCCCTTTGTGGTATGGTAACTTGCAGTACAATTTCAGAGAGATTCATACACTTGAACACAAGTTATTGTCTGGAAACTATAAAAATGTGTTTTTTGGCCCCTTTTTGGCCCCAAATTCCTAAACGTTTAGGGCAATTACCCCCAAACTCAAACCCAGCTTTCCCTTTGTGATATGGAACCTTGTAGTACAATTTCAGAAAGATCCATACACTTACACACAAGTTATTGTCCTGAAACTAGAAAAATGCTTGTTTTTTGCCCCTTTTTTGCCCCTAATTCCTAAAATATTGAGGCAATTACCCCCATCATCAATCCCAGCCTTCCCTTTGTGGTATGGTACCTTGCAGTACAATTTCAGAGAGATCCATACACTTGAACACAAGTTATTGTCTGGAAACTAGAAAAATGCTTATTTTTGGCCCCAAATTCCTTAACGTTTCAGCAATTACCCCCAAACTCAATTCCAGCTTTCCCTTTGTGATATGGAACCTTGTAGTACAATTTCAGAAATATCCATACACTTACACACAAGTTATTGTCATGAAACTAGAAAAATGCTTGTTTTTTGCCCCTTTTTGGGCCCCTAATTCCTAAAATTTTGAAGCAATTACCCCCAAAATCAATCCCAGCATTCCTTTTGTGATATGGAACCTTGTGGTACAATGTCAGAGAGATCCATACACTAACACACAAGTTATGTCTGGAAGTTACAAAAATGCTTATTTTTGGCCCCTTTTTGGCCCCTAATTCCTTTACTGTTGGTACCATAACCCCCAAAATCAATCCCAACCTTCCTTTTGTGGTATTGAACCTTGTGGTAAATTTTCATAGAGATCCATTCACTTTAACTAAAGTTAGAGTGCGAAAACCAATGTGTCTTCGGACGACGACGACGACGACGCCAACGTCATACCAATATACGACCACAAAAATTTTTTTGCGGTCGTATAAAAAGGTCTAAAAAGATAAAAAAATTAATAATAAAAAAAAAATATTCAGTCACAGAATTTCAGTCATTTCAACCAAATTAAGCCTATCTAGCAGTTTATAAAATCATGTGTTATGTAGAATTTTATTTAATTAACTCCCCTCTTTTCCAATACAATTATGTAAAGGAATTATATATCCAGTTTTACTCTTTTCTTACTTTAAATGAGTTTTAAGATAAGGAAACTCCTATCCCAGATCTAACTGTCTTAACATAACCAGACAATATTTGTCTGTTATTTAGGTATTCCCCAGTGTTTTCCCGCCAAAAGAGATCATGTGACATTGTTGTCAACAAAAGGACCATGTGGTCAGGGAATTTATTTGTTTTCTGGATTACTGCTTTTATTAATCTAGTTAGGATATAAACATTCCATTTAAGGTATAGTCAAACATATGCATTTATAAAATAACTGTAGTTTGCAAACAAGTTTTACTTTTCAAATAAAAGAAACTGGGTCATGATCGTTCATTGGTTGTTACCTTGTTCAACCACGCAAGACCATGTAAATAATAAAATCAGCTGTCAGTGTACATCCCTTAAGGCAATTAACAATAATTCGACTTCTTAATTGCCACTGACATGATAATTGGATTAGGGATATCTGAAGTTTAACTTCAATCTATTGATTTTTCAAGTGTGGAGGACAATAAAATAAGCGTGGCGCTGGGAATTTTAACGTGGTGCTAGAAATTTAAGCGTGGCACACCGCCATCCTTAAAAAGGTTGTGGTGATCCCTGATTGTATTACTGTGTAGGCAAATAAAAAGAGCAATGTGCAAAATTAAGTATATGTGAAATTAAGCTGATTTACAATAATTAGGTCTTTCCACTTTTCTGTGGAAAGACCTATTGTATTTGTTCTGATTATTATTATTTTCTTCCGCCAAATTTTGTTCTCGCGTAAAATTTTTGTTTCGCAAGATGTCGCTTAGATATTTCTTATATAGTATCATACAGTTTATGCGCTTTTTATTTTCACCCATTCAAAGCCGAACAATTTTCTTTGTATGAGTTATCTCCCCGAACACTGTTTTCCTTGTGACTGCATCTCCTCTGTAACCGTAAAAGAAAGCCACAAATTTATTTTATAAAATTGCTTGTTATATCCTTTGCATGATTTGTCCTTTTTTGACCGAAGCGATATGAATATTCCATATGAGAGTTATTTCCCCTTATGCATTTGATATAAGTGATATGCATTTCTATCTTGTAAACCATAAGTGATAGAGACCTAGGATCTTTTGATTTGAGGTCCTTGATCCAAAAATAAGAAAATTAGGTCAAGGTCAGAGGTCAAGGTCATATTTCAAATTTTGACTTTGGCTTATTTTCAATTCTTTTCAAAAACCGTATAAGATATCGACAACATATTTTTACTAAATTGTAAGTTGCGACATTGTAACACATAAATTTTTGTTAAAAGGGTACGCTAACATTAAATTGGAGTTTTCTCCCCTCTTTTATTAAAAGTTAAGCATATAGTGATATAACTCATTAACCATATATAATTAAGACCTATAGTCTTTTGATTTGAAGCCCTTGGTTTATGACCTTGAAATTGAGCTCAAGGTCATAGGTAAAATTGATGTTCTAGATTTTGACCTTTGCTTTTACCTCATATGTATACATGATAAAGCCATGGGACTTTTTGCATTACGTGGCAATCCACTTGACTATGGAAAAGCCAACAGGAAGTGACCTGGTGTAAACCGGTAGTAGCTATTTTTTGTACTTATTTAATGTAAAAGTATATTGAACCATATATTTTTGGAATCAGTATCAAGTAAGCTATCAAATAAAACCGGAAGTGACATTTTTCAAACCGGAAGTAACAATTTATCTCCCTTATTTAGAAAAAAATGGACCAACTTGAAAACTGGGCCCATAATCAAAAATCTAAATACATGTTTAGATTCAGCATATCAAAGAACCCTAAGAATTCAATTTTTGTTAAAATCAAACTAAGTTTAATTTTGGACCCTTTGGACTTTAATGTAGACCAATTTGAAAACAGAACCAAAAATTAAGAATCTAAATACACGGTTAGATTCAGCATATCAAAGAACCCCAAGAATTCAATTTTTGATGAAATCAAACAAAGTTTAATTATGGACCCTTTTGACCTCAATGTGGACAAAGTTGATAACAGGGCCCAAAAATCAAAAATCTAAATACATGGTTAGATTCAGCATATCAAAGAACCCCACATATTCAATTTTTGTTGAAATCAAACAAAGTTTAATTTTGGACCCCGATTTGGACCAACTTGAAAACTGGGCCCATAATCAAAAATCTAAATACATGTTTAGATTCAGCATATCAAAGAACCCTAAGAATTCAATTTTTGTTAAAATCAAACTAAGTTTAATTTTGGACCCTTTGGACTTTAATGTAGACCAATTTGAAAACAGAACCAAAAATTAAGAATCTAAATACACGGTTAGATTCGGCAATATCAAAGAACCCCAATAATTCAATTTTTGATGAAATCAAACAAAGTTTAATTTTGGACCCTTTGGACCTCAATGTGGACCAATTTAAAAACGGGCCTCAAAATCCAAAAACTAAATTCACGGTTAGATTCAGCATATACAAGAACCCCAAGAATTCAAGAATAAAACCCCATTGAAATTGGTCAAGAAATAAGCAATTTATACGAAGTATCTTCTTTTGCACAATACTGTGCAATTAAATAATTCTTGCTATTGCGCAATACTGTACAATTGACAATTTCTTGCTATTGCGCAATATTGTGCTATTGCGCAATACTGTGCAATTGAAGATTTCTTGCTATTGCGCAATACTGTGCAATTGAAGATTTCTTGCTATTGTGCAATACTGTGCAATTGAAAATTTCTTGCTATTGCACAATACTTATTATATAATAATTTACACATCCTGTTTGGTGTGTATCTCCTACCATATCATTATTATTTGCTTTTAAATATAAATCAGAAATAACCAACTTAAAATGGAAAATTTTAAAAGAAAAAAAAAGGAAAAAAAATAAATCCCCCCCCCCCCCCAAATTTTTTGAACCCCCTTATGATTCATCACCCCCAAACTCAATCCCAGCCTTCCCTTTGTGGTATGGTAACTTGCAGTACAATTTCAGAGAGATTCATACACTTGAACACAAGTTATTGTCTGGAAACTATAAAAATGTGTTTTTTGGCCCCTTTTTGGCCCCAAATTCCTAAACGTTTAGGGCAATTACCCCCAAACTCAAACCCAGCTTTCCCTTTGTGATATGGAACCTTGTAGTACAATTTCAGAAAGATCCATACACTTACACACAAGTTATTGTCCTGAAACTAGAAAAATGCTTGTTTTTTGCCCCTTTTTTGCCCCTAATTCCTAAAATATTGAGGCAATTACCCCCATCATCAATCCCAGCCTTCCCTTTGTGGTATGGTACCTTGCAGTACAATTTCAGAGAGATCCATACACTTGAACACAAGTTATTGTCTGGAAACTAGAAAAATGCTTATTTTTGGCCCCAAATTCCTTAACGTTTCAGCAATTACCCCCAAACTCAATTCCAGCTTTCCCTTTGTGATATGGAACCTTGTAGTACAATTTCAGAAATATCCATACACTTACACACAAGTTATTGTCATGAAACTAGAAAAATGCTTGTTTTTTGCCCCTTTTTGGGCCCCTAATTCCTAAAATTTTGAAGCAATTACCCCCAAAATCAATCCCAGCATTCCTTTTGTGATATGGAACCTTGTGGTACAATGTCAGAGAGATCCATACACTAACACACAAGTTATGTCTGGAAGTTACAAAAATGCTTATTTTTGGCCCCTTTTTGGCCCCTAATTCCTTTACTGTTGGTACCATAACCCCCAAAATCAATCCCAACCTTCCTTTTGTGGTATTGAACCTTGTGGTAAATTTTCATAGAGATCCATTCACTTTAACTAAAGTTAGAGTGCGAAAACCAATGTGTCTTCGGACGACGACGACGACGACGCCAACGTCATACCAATATACGACCACAAAAATTTTTTTGCGGTCGTATAAAAAGGTCTAAAAAGATAAAAAAATTAATAATAAAAAAAAAATATTCAGTCACAGAATTTCAGTCATTTCAACAAAATTAAGCCTATCTAGCAGTTTATAAAATCATGTGTTATGTAGAATTTTATTAAATTAACTCCCCTCTTTTCCAATACAATTATGTAAAGGAATTATATATCCAGTTTTACTCTTTTCTTACTTTAAATGAGTTTTAAGATAAGGAAACTCCTATCCCAGATCTAACTGTCTTAAAATAACCAGACAATGTTTGTCTGTTATTTAGGTATTCCCCAGTGTTTTCCCACCAAAAGAGATCATGTGACATTGTTGTCAACAAAAGGACCATGTGGTCAGGGAATCTATTTGTTTTCTGGATTACTGCTTTTATTAATCTAGTTAGGATATAAACATTCCATTTAAGGTATAGTCAAACATATGCATTTATAAAATAACTGTAGTTTGCAAACAAGTTTTACTTTTCAAATAAAAGATTGATTGTTGGTTGCTTAACTTCTAGTGGCAAATATTTCATGCATATTCAGGACGATTCAAATAAAAGAAACTGGGTCATGATCGTTCATTGGTTGTTACCTTGTTCAACCACGCGAGACCATGTAAATAATATAATCAGCTGTCAGTGTACATCCCTTGAGGCAATTAACAATAATTCGACTTCTTAATTGCCACTGACATGATAATTGGATTAGGGATATCTGAAGTTTAACTTCAATCTATTGAATTTTCAAGTGTGGCGGACAATAAAATAAGCGTGGCGCTGGGAAATTTTAACGTGGTGCTAGAAATTTTTGCGTGGCGCACCGTCATCCTTAAATAGGTTGTGGTGATCCCTGATTGTATTACTGTGTAGGCAATTAAAAAGAGCAATGTGCAAAATTAAGTTTATGTGAAATTAAGCTGATTTACAATAATTCTATTTAAGTTCTGTCAAAAGAAATTACATTTCAACCGAAATCACTTCTTCAAATAACTCATCTAACAATTTGATAGAAAACTACTAGGATGAAAATATCTACAAGGTTGTGTAGTTTCCCATATTATACTTAGCAGGTATATTTTTTCTTAACTCTTGAGTGCATTTACACCAACCTTATTATCCAAGTTCAAAACAGCCTCCATAGACTTTACTTTTCCATTTTCTCTGAAAAGACATATAAATTTAACATCATCTAATGAAGTGATTTAAGTTTTGTATTCCATTATAACTTTAAAATTTCTAAAACTATAAATATTGAATGACAGCAAGGATATCTCGTACAGTATCTATAAAAGATAACAATAAACTAATGTGATACAATTTATTTAAAGACTGAGTATTAAGATACTACTTACTTGACAATTTTGGTGAAACTAATGTTTCCCCAGTTGACAAATGTTACCATTTCTCCCTCAGATATTAACTCTGCATCAGCGCCATCTATGTAAACCAGAGGACTATACCATGTATCCTTGTCTCCTATTTCTCCATTCTAAAATATTAAGTGATTTTTCAGCAACAAGCAAATTTAGAAATCAATGTGTACTTTTGCAGCAGATATCAAACAGTTATCATAAGACTATTTAAAAAAAGCTCAGATACAAATCAGATATTTTAAATGCCTATTTGAGAAATGCATGTATTAGGTGTATTAGGTGGGTATACACTGTCCATCAAAGTTGTGTAAAATCATTTAATTAAAGAACTTTTGGAACAGCAATTGATCATTTTGAAAGGGTATCCAGGTATATCCAAAAATCAGACAAAGTAAAAGGGCTTAATCTTTGATGTCTGTTCTTTTTTGATAATATACCTTGGTGTCATCCTGAGGTGTTGAGTAATAGTTAGGTCTCCTCAATTCTTCTTAGATGATTGGATAATTGATAATTGTTTAACCTGGCATCAGCATAAAACTTCTATATCGCGAAAAGGTTTTAGATAATAATACTGTAATTCTTTTTTGACGGAATGGAATGTCAGTAGATTAAAGGATTGATATCTTACCTTTGGATGTTTAGGAACTTGTTTCATACTCTCCTCCGCCCCTTTAATCTTAACAGGAACTACATCGTCTTTCAACAGAGCCGTGTACCTTGGTACAATTGGATCTATGACCTGCATTATTCAAACATTATTATCAAGTAAGATGATGGTGTTTAATATTTTCTCCAATGATTAATATTTTTCCATTCTGGTTGTTGACATTGATCTTTTTGTTCGGCATGATTATAAATAAAAGGATATGTGGGTAATAAATATGTCAATAAGACAGCAACCCAGCAAAATAAATAAACCAGAAAAGACATCTAAATTTCAACATACAATAGACAAGTGTCCTATTCATGTGTCAAGCTCTAAGTGGCTCAAGTTAAGGGCATACGATACAGAAAAGATCTCTCATTGATTTTTCCTTAAAATTTTGACACATAGTCAACTTTGATATGTACTTTTGAAATATGCAAAGAAAAATATACCATCATGACTAACTTTTTGAGATATTTCAGTTTGAAATTTGCATGTTTCATGTAAAAACACAAATTGTCAATTTTCAATACTTTTCAGGAAAAATAACACAATATTCACACACAAAGAGACATTGTCACCCGATTTTTTGCTAAAAGATCCTTAATTTATAGGCCTTTAATGCCATCCCTAAAATGAAGGTGTAACGTGAAAAAAAAATTTGATATCATACAATTATTGGTAACAAAAGCTGTAGACGACTTTCTTACCAATACAAATGCATATATAAAAAGTTGTTTGTTGATCTATCTATACATGATGTACTGATTGGTAAATATGGTAATACTTTACCAACCTTCTTATTAACAGACCATATCTTGTCCCATTCCATCATAACAACAGACCTGGAAGACCCCTGTTACAAAAAAATAACATTTTATCTTAAAACATATGTCTCATACAATTGCTAATTCAATTCATTTTTATATGACATAATAGAACATTTTTTTTCAAAACAGCTTTACAATTTTGCTTTGGCAGTATTTAATTCTTCTTTTAAGATAGAAAAACCCTTAAACCACAAGAGTGCAGCAAATCATTGCATGCAATTCCCAATTATATGGCATTGAAATTTGTGCAGTATGTTCTGTTAGAAAAACAAATTGATCATCTTACAATGTTACATGATTTCATTCATACTGGTGTTCTCTTGTAATACCTTACTGACAACCATAACTTAGCTATACTATAACCATTAATCTAACAGTATACAATACTAACCTGAGCTACAATAAACTGTTTTAATCCCTCTACTGTAAGTCCTCTTCGAAGTACACCTCTTACTGTTGGCATTCTAGGGTCATCCCTATATAATGTCAATAAAGTAAGGATAAAGAATCATTAGTTTAGTTATGTGCAGTTCAGAAATAATATTCCAAACAGCTCAAATTTACATAAAAAACATAGAACAGATCAAATACAATATCTATAATGAGGCACAATCACTCTTTCTGGAAAACTCATTTATAAAAACCAAATTATTATGTGATCTTAACTTGTCTTGTTTGACCATGAGGTTTTGCCCCCAAAAAATGTGGTTTATGACACTCTCTACCAATGAATGGCTTCCAAAACATGTCTTACACTGCTTATTTTCCATTCCTTTGGTTTGATCTGAAATTCTTGACATTTGGCATGAAAGTACATTTAACTGGGGTTTCTATCTTTCTGTATAAAACTGTATTTTTTTTTGCAGTGTTTTTTTTTCGTCTAGTGTTTGACTTTTCATTTTGTTCTTTTGCTATGGTGCTTACTGTCTTCTTTTGACTTATAGTAATAATTGCCCCTTGATATCTTTTACTCTGATAAACTGCTCAGAAAAGTGAATTGACTAACCATCCATCTACGATTCCTTCGGTAACAAACCAGGTCAGTTTTCTCTTAGACAGTAATGTATTCTGAAGATTTAATCTGCTGTACTCATAGATATGGGGTTTTCTTAGTTCTGTAATTCAAAATGGAAGCTATTATTATATTTTACAATGTTGCTGATGTCAGGACACTACTTTTCTATTGGTTGCTATATGAACACAGTGTTAATAATTGAACATGCCTAAATGTTACCCCACCCATCCACTTTCACCAAGAATAATAATAAAAAATAAAAATTCATTTTAATGGAGCAAACCTACCACTAAAGTCTTCAAACAATTTACTAAAGAAAAGGAAAAAAATCCAAAATGTCATTTATCTTAATACAATGTCTTTTACAAATCTTTAAAAAAAAAATGAATTATTTCCCTTTGAACAGAAATCTAGTAATTAATAAGTATTTCATCAAAAATTCTAGGGAAAGGGCTTTAACTGAACAAGGAGAAAAGCTAAAATCATGAAAATCAAACTTGACCTGTAACTTGTCATGATAAAACAATACACCAAATATCAAATCAATATCTTCAAGCATGAAGAAAAAAAGTCTGGAAAACTGATTTGCCGGACTGACGGATGGACAGACGGACGGACGGACAGACAGACGGACGGACGGAGTGCAAACCTACAGTCCCCTTCGACTTGGGACTAAAAAAGTCTAATGAGGATTGCTTATGAAGGTACTTTTCTACACTCCATTAGTCAGGTTAATTTTGTATTAAACCTTCAGAATAAGGCCTTTTCTTCAACAGTTTTAAAATATTGATTTGTTACAAGGAGTTTATATCCGCCTGACAAGTGACATGGTCCTGAATCTCAAATTTACTCTTCAGAAGTTACTTTTAAGTTTTTTTTCAGAGTGAAATGACTTACTTAGTGCCTCTATAAACCAAAAATACTGATCATCTCTATCATGGTACTCTGTGGTTCTCAGAGCATGCGTCACACCTTCTATACTATCTACGATTGGACAGGCAAAATCATATGTTGGATACGCCCTGTAAGACATTATCAAAATTGAGTCTTCAGTAATAAACAAACACAAAATATAACAGTATAACTGTAAATATTCACAGGTCAAATTTTTTTTCCAGAATTAAGGTTAAAATGTGTATTTCTAATTCTGCAGATTTTTCTTTTTGCAATTGGCATTAGACTTTCAAACAGTAAATGAAGGCATTTGAACTACCACACCAACCGCCATAGCCTTTTATGTTCTCATTGTCTTCCAACCGTACAAAACAACAGCATAAAATACACTCTTCTATTTGTTTCATGTTTTCACATGTATTTCATTATTTCATTAGTACACTGTATCATTCCTTAAAATAGTCATTGCCTGACTCCATGTTTAATAGAGCCCCTATAAAGCATTACACATTTCTTACTTGTATTTGTTACCAGTTTTTACATGGGTCTCATTTTTACACCTATACATTGTTGGGTCCCTCAAACAGCCATTGTCAGACTGCATGTCTAGCTTTGCCCTGACACAGCATTTCAGCCCAGAATCAGTTCCTTTTTTCATCTCCTCCCACATTTTCAAATTCTTCTCCACACCTAAACAAAAAAAGGACAACAATTATTATTAAAATATGTTAATAAATAAATGTAGATAGTGTCCACATGTGGACACAGATGATGCCCCCGCTTGCATATCATATAGTTAAAAAGGGACATAACTGAAGAACGGTAAAAGTGACGCTACCCAAATTTAAACTTGATCTGAGTTTTGTGGTAATAAGCACTGTGTGTAAGTCTCATAACATTTGGTTGAGGCTAACTTAAGTAGAGAACAGAAACTAAAAATTCAGCAATTTTTCTATTTGTAAACACGCATAACTCTAGAACGGCTGTGTATAAGTTTTATAACATTTGGTTGAGACAAACTAAAGTTAGAGAACGGAAACGAAAAATTCAGCAATTTTTATGTTTATAAAGGGACATAACTCAAGAATGGTAAAAGTGTTGCCATCAAATTTCGTACTCAATCTGTATTATGTAGTAATAAGCATTGTGTATAAGTTTCATAACATTTGGTTGAGGCAAACTAAAGTTAGAAAACGGAAACAAAAAATTTGTACTTGATCTTAGTTTTGTTGTAATGAATATTGTGTATAGGTTTCATAATGTTTGGTTGGGGCAAACTTAAGTTACAGAATGGAAACTAAAAATTTTGCAATCTTTCGATTTATAAAGGGGCATAACTCAATAATGGTTAAAGTGACACTACCCAAATTCAACATGATCTGTGTTTTATCAGTGGAAGTCAAAATTAAACATTGCATTGTATAAAGCATTGATTGTAGTTGATTCAACTATAATCATGGAAAAAGAAAGATAACTCCAATTTTAAAAATAACTTGATATTTAGAAGAAAATAAAAATTTCGCAATTTTTCCATTTCTAAAGGGGCATAACTCTAGAACTATAAGTTTCATAACATTGGTTGAGGCAAACTAAAGTTAGAGAACGGAAATGAAAAATTCAGCAATTTTTCCATTTGTAAAGGGGCATAACTCTAGAACGGTAAAAGTGATGCACCAAAATTCAAACTTGATTTGTGTTTTGTGGTTATAAGCATTGTGTATAAGTTTCATAACATTTGGTTGAGGCAAACTAAAGTTCGAGAACGGAAACGATAAATTCAGCAATTTTCCATTTGTAAAGGGGCATAACTCTAGAACGGTAAAAGTGACGCCACCAAAATTCAAACTTAATCTGTGTTTTGTGGTAATAAGCATTGTGTATAAGTTTCATAACATTTGGTTGAGACAAACTAAAGTTAGAGAACGGAAACTAATTTTGGGACGTACGTACGTACAGACGGACAAGGGTAAAACTTAATGCCCCCTCTGCCAAGGCGGGGGCATAAAAATATCTTGCAGAACATGATATCTATAAATTTTTAGACAACCAACTGAAATAAATCAACCATCTATTATTTAATTACTTTAAGTTATACAGGCCTGTAATTAAATTTCATACAAACAAGCATTATGAGAGTATTGCATGGCAATACATAGTCCCCTACCGGGTAAAAATTCATTATACTGAAACAAAATGCTAACTTGTTCTATAACTTGTCATGGTGTAAACAAAAAGAAAATATCAAGTCAATATCTTCAAGCATGACTAAAAACAGTGTGGAAAACTGAATATATGAGTGAATTTTTTCAAGTCTAAGGACCATAACTCTGCACAAAATTATCAGACCGAAACAAAAATTTGAACTTGATCTGTAACTTGTCATGATAAAACTATTTACCAATTGTCAATCAATATATTCAAGCATGATGAAAAAAAGTGTGGAAAACCTATAACACTCTAAAATTAGATATGATGTAATACAATGTATATCTATTTTCAAGTTACAATCAAATATAATTAATAGTTCCAAATATTTTTTCTTTCATTTGTCACAAACTAATATAGATTTGTAACTTACCTATAAAATGTCAACAACTTTTATCTACACAATGTAATGTAATGAAGTATATACCTTAATTAAAATAGATTATTATCTAATTAAAGGATTTCACTTAATAAAAAAATATATACATGTAGCATTCAGAAAATTAGTTTATACAAAATAACATATAAACCTGCCACAAAATTCCTCAAACAATTAACCAAAGAATGTCTTTTAAAAAATGAGTTATCACTCTTTGTACAGATTATATGGTTTAACATAGTACTCTAACATTAGTTATGGAGTTTTTTCATGGACCATAACTCTGGACTAAATCATCAGACCGGAACATAATTCAAACTTGATCTATAACTTGTCATGATAAAACTATATACCAAATATCAAATCAATATCTTCAAGAACGAAGAAAAAAAGTGTGGAAAGCTGAGTTGCCGGACTGACGGATGGACAGACGGACGGACGGACAGACAGACGGACAGAGTGCAAACCTAAAGTCCTCTTCTACTTCGTCGGTAGGGGACTAAAAATGGTCTGAGGCTCTTTTAAAGAAAATACCACTTACAAGTGTTTTTTTCCCAGAAGATTTTTTGTGAAATGAGTCACAGATGTTTAATTAAGAGAAAAATTGAAGTTTATTGTAATTTCAATCTTTTTTTCACATTTGCAACAATACTTAACAATGACTTTTTTACAAACACATTTTATTTATATCATTCAGACATAACCAAAATGATAAAAGAACAGAGTTCCAATGTCCCTCGCGTTGCACATATTTTATCTATCCAAGGATCAAGGGCAATAACTAAACTAGAGGCTCTAAAGAGCCTGTGTCGCTCACTTTGGTCTATGTGCATATTCAACAAAGGACACTCTCCAGCATTGTAGACGAGAATAGAATGCATGATAAAAATCTCTGTTTTGATGATCTTGTATTGCTGATCATTTAGTCTATTTAGTTTCTCTCTATCATCTTAAGTTTTTGCTCACAAAACAAAAGAGGGTAAAAAAAAATCCTCATTTAAGGGCAATCACTCCTATAGAGAGTGACAGTCTACTAACTATATCGACAAGATTTGACTTGTTAGTAGATCTTGCCTTGCTGATCATTTTTGTGATTTAAATTGTCTTATTATCTATAATAATTTTTATCATATAAGACAAAACGCCAAAAAAAATAGTAAAAATCGTCCTTTAAGAACCATAACTCTAATAAGGAGTTGTCCTACGATTTCCTCCATAGTGTCTTAATTGTAGATATTGTCTTGCTGATCATTTTTGCTTATTTAAGTTTCTATCTATCTATTATAATTTTTATCACATCAGGCAAAAACACAAAAAATCGGTAAAAATCATCATCAAAGGGCAATAACTCTAATAAGAAGTTAACTGACGATTTCGACCATGCAGGCTTATTTGTAGAACTTGTCTTGCTGATACTTTTGCAATTTACAGTTTCTCTCCATCTATTAAAGGTAAAAATAAAACTCCTATAAGAAGTCGTCTGACAGTTTTGACGTATATGGACAATTGGTAGAGCTTAACATTTTGATCATGGGACACATATTTTAACTAGATACCCAAATGATGATTGTGGCCAAGTTTGGTTAAGTTTGGTCCAGTTGTTTCAGATGAGAAGAAGATTTTTTGTAAAAGTGAACTGACGACGACGACAATGGACGCCAAGTGATGAGAAGTGAGCCAAAAATACACTTTTTTTTTGTTCTTTAAAACTGTTGATAAATATCTTAGAGAAATAAATGCTTCAGAGCAAATTCAATGTGATTTCCAATATGATTAATAATTCCAAGGGGCAAAACTCATTAAAAATATTTGATCAGCACTTATTTTCAAACGTGTCAAAGACATTGTTGATATAAAATTCATAAGAATTGTACACATGAGAGCGCTAACGATGCAATTTTCCATATAATTAATATCTCCAAAGGGCATAACTCTTTTAAAAATAATTGATCGGCATAGATTTTTCCAACTCTTCCAAGACATCGCTGATATAAACCTTAGATATAAGTTTCATAAAAATCTGTCAAGAATTGTACACATGAGAGCACTAACTATGCAATGCTCCATATCATTAATGTTTCCAAGGGCATAACTCTTTTTTGAAATAATTGATCGGCACTGATTTTTCGAACTGTGTGGGAGCGCTAACAAAACCAGTCGAACGGACGCCTGGTATTTCTATGTCCCAATGCAACGCGTTGCACTGAGGGGACAAAAACAAATTTAAACTATAAATCACCTTTGCAATCAGTAATGGAATTCACACATATATCAACCCAACTTGAGATGTCTTTTGTATTTTTTGTTGGGTTGGGTTGCTGTTTCATTTAGATGCAATTTCCATCTTTTTATTCAATTATTTACTATTCACTACTTATATGATACTTACTGTTTTTCCTGTTATCTGATTCTACCCTTTCCTCTCGCTCTTTTTTCATCTGCTCAGGTTCAGTATTGTCCACATAGGCTTTTCCTTCTTTAATCATCTTGGTACACAAGTCCAGCATCAAGTCAAAATGATCTGAAGTGTGACTGAACTTGTCATACTTAATACCCAACATAGCCACATCTTCCAATATTACCTACAATTAATTAGGAAATTAAAATTTTAATTTCAACTACTTTTATTACTTCATTATCTTAACTTCATTTTGTTATCAAGAAAATAAATGTTGTTTTGTTTGCATGTCATGTTAATTGTAAATAACAATACTACATGAAAAAATCTTTTAATAAAATTTCAAATACTGACAGATACTCAAAACTCAAAAACTTCTCTTGTACTTATACAGAAAACACTTTACTAAACAATGCAAATTTGCCAGAAATAAAGTCGTAGCTCTTTTTACAGAAGCTGATTCACAAATTTCATTTATTGTCGATTCGTTTATTTTCATGTGTACCAATTTCCATAGATTAAAGAAAAAATGCGTTTTCATGGATATTTGAATTCGTGGTTTTACAAAAGTCTGCTTACAAGTCTATAGAAAATTTGTAATTTGCTGAAGTTTTGTGGTTCACCTGTCCCACGAAATCTACAAAATATGTAACCCACAAATAACAAAGAATCCACAGTACTTAAAAATGTCTGTTATGATAAGCAATATGTACTCTCCAAATATTTGCATGCACGTTAACACAGTGAGGTTAGCATTAAATTATATTTTATGATTATTGATATACTTTGTAATACAGTGTACATTATAGTTTACAATGTATTTTTAATGCCTTCGTACTGTGTGTGTATTCTTCAAGTTTTCTGTTTCATAATCTTAAAGGATTGACTATGGTATAGAGTTATAGTCACCTGGACTTCTCTTCTTTGAAAATTATCATGAAAATGTCTATTTCAAATAATTTAAAATATCAATTAGAGCTGTTCCCAAAATTAATGAGTATGCTTGTATGAATGAAGAAGGGGAGATCAGAAAACTAGAGGCTTTCAAGAGCCTGTGTCGCTCACCTGTATTTACTGATGCTTTGGAAATCATGTAAAATAAGGTTAAAATCATAATTAATAGTATTAGATATTAGATATTATAATGATATCTAAGATAACAACAAAAAACTGCAAAATTTCTGTAAAATTATTAACTCAGGGGCAGCAACCCAACAAAGGGTTGTCGGATTCGTCTGAAAATTTCAGGGCAGATAAATCTAAATCTGATGAACATTTTTGCCACCTGTCAGATTTGCTCTAAATGCTTTAGTTTTAGAGATATAAACCAAAAACTGCATTTTACCCCTATGTTCTATTTTTAACCATGTCAGCCATGATGGTTGGAAGGCGGGGTCATCAGACAAATTTTTAAACTAGATACCCTAATAATGATTATGGCCAAGTATGGTTAAATTTGTCTCAGTAGTTTCAGAGAAGAAGATTTTTGTAAAAGATTACAAAAATTTACGAAAAATTGTTAAAAATTGACTATAAAGGGCAATAACTCCTAAAGGGGTCGACTGACAATTTTGGTCATGATGACTTATTTGTAGATCTGACTTTGCTGAACATTATTGCTGTTCACAGTTTATATCTATCTATAATAATATTCAAGATAATAACCAAAAACGGCAAAAATTTCCTTAAAATTACCAATTCAGGGGCAGCAACCCAATAACAAGTTGTCCCATTCATCTGCAAATTTCAGGGCAGATAGATCTTGACCTGATAAACAATATAACCCCATTACAGATTTGCTCTAAATGCATTGGTTTCAGAGATATAAGCCAAAATCTACATTTTACCCCTATGTTCTATTTTTAGCCATGGTGGCCATCTTGGTTGGTTGGCCGGGTCACCGGACACATTGATAAAACTAGATACCCCAATGATGATCGTGGCCAAGTTTGGTTAAATTTAGCCCAGTGGTTTCAGAGAAGAAGATTTTTGTAAAATTTAACGGACGCCGGACGCCAAGTGATGAGAAAAGCTCACTTGGCCCTTTGGGCCAGGTGCGCTAAAAACCTGGTCACCAAAACAATGTAAAAACAAATTTTTTATAATTCTTCTATGTTTGGGAAAATAAAAGCACACACCAATTATTCATTCTAACTGACTCACACCTTCCCCATACAATTCATAATAGGATTACTTTAACTGCCCTAATCAAATATATCATTCACTATAAAAGGCATAGAATTTCTAGATTATACCTGCTCAAACTCTGATGATTCTTTAGCTGGATTTGTATCATCAAATCTCATAATCAACGTTCCTTTGAACATCTCTCTATAGTAATAATTCAAAAGGGCTGCCTTAGCATGTCCAACATGTAAATATCTGAAAAGTAAAATAATCAAATCTGAAAAAAACATGACTTTCTTTTGATAATCAACATCTCAAAAGAAAAAAAAACTTGTGTTTTTTCCTTTTAAGAGTTTTATACATCTACATATATCTTTGAATATATATATAATATATATCTTTCAACAACTCATCTAATTCTTTGTGAGCAGCTTTATAATTTCATGATGATGGATAAACCCAGGCCTACATATTTTAATGAGAAGCCCTGTTACATATATCAGGAGATGTTCAAAGGAAGCAATGCAATCTTTATAATGTTCAATTTCATACATATTTCTTTACCTTCTGAAATTCTGCAAAATATCTTTCAGGGTTTGTGTCATCAAACCTCAATATGTATTTGCCTTTAAACATCTCCCGATAGTAATAATTGATTAATGCTGCTTTACCATGTCCAATGTCTAGATATCTAAAACATTAGACATCTCCCGATAGTAATAATTGATTAATGCTGCTTTACCATGTCCAATGTCTAGATATCTAAAACTTTAAACATCTCCCAATAGTAATAATTGATTAATGCTGCTTTACCATGTCCAATGTCTAGATATCTAAAACATTAAACATCTCCCAATATTAATAATTGATAAATGCTGCTTTACCATGTCCAATGTCTAGATATCTAAAACTTTAAACATCTCCCTATAGTAATAATTGATTAATGCTGCTTTCCCATGTCCAATGTCTAGATATCTAAAACATTAAACATTTCCCGATAGTAATAATTGATTAATGCTGCTTTCCCATGTCCAATGTCTAGATATCTAAAACATTAAACATCTCCCGATAGTAATAATTGATTAATGCTGCTTTCCCATGTCCAATGTCTAGATATCTAAAACATTAAACATCTCCCAATAGTAATAATTGATTAATGCTGCTTTCCCATGTCCAATGTCTAGATATCTAAAACATTAAACATCTCCCGATAGTAATAATTGATTAATGCTGCTTTCCCATGTCCAATGTCTAGATATCTAAAACATTAAAGATCTCCCGATAGTAATAATTGATTAATGCTGCTTTACCATGTCCAATGTCTAGATATCTAAAACATTAAAGATCTCCCGATAGTAATAATTGATTAATGCTGCTTTACCATGTCCAATGTCTAGATATCTAAAACATTAAAGATCTCCCGATAGTAATAATTGATTAATGCTGCTTTACCATGTCCAATGTCTAGATATCTAAAACATTAAAGATCTCCCGCTAGTAATAATTGTTTAATGCTGCTTTCCCATGTCCAATGTCTTGAAATCTAAAACTTTAAACATCTCCCGATAGTAATAATTAATTAATGCTGCTTTCCCATGTCCAATATCTAGATATCTAAAACATTAAACATCTCTCGATAGTAATAATTGATTAATGCTGCTTTCCCATGTCCAATGTCTAGATATCTAAAACATTAAAGATCTCCTGATAGTAATAATTGTTTAATGCTGCTTTCCCATGTCCAATGTCTAGATATCTAAAACATTAAACATCTACCGATAGTAATAATTAATTAATGCTGCTTTACCAGGTCCAATGTCTAGATATCTAAAACATTAAACATCTACCGATAGTAATAATTTATGCTGCTTTACATTGTCCAATGTCCAGATATCTAAACCATGAAACAGCTTTCATATCCAACACATACAGCCCTACTATTAAATGAACACTTCATTGGTATATCTTTTTTATTCATGACTATTGTAATTTTATGTTGAAGATTTGTTAAAGATTCCATATTAAAAACATTTCACCAAATGGGTTTATCACATATATATTGAATTCAATTTCTAACTGTTCGATAAAATTCTTGTGGAATGCTTGAATATTCAACATTATTCAATATTTCATAACCATGAAATTTTCTCTGGTATAATATGCATGTCTAAATTGAATTGAGTTAACCTCCACTTACCCACTTGCTTCTGGAGGAAATCTGACCACAACTTTGCCCATCTCTGCTCCTGGGAGGTCAACAAACTTTCCTTCATCTTTTTTGATCTACAAACATTAAAGCTATACAGTTATTTCTTTGCAAATTTTAAACATATCTATGGTTAAATATTTGTAGTTCCAAATAGTGCCAGTTAAGCTTCACGTCTTGCCTTTTCAGGAAAATAGAGACCCAAGGTTCCAAAATTTGCAGTCTCAATGACTTTTAAATTGATCATTAATTAATTTGATATATAATAACAAACATGACATGCTCAGTAAATCCCATAATTTTACTTTGTTCCTCAGGCTGTTTAACTATCAGTTCACTTTCATCATCAATTAAAAGTAGCAAAAGTCAAAAGTTTCTAATTGATATAAAATTACAATCAAGTTGGCATTATATATTATGAAAATAACTACAATATACTTTATAAAAATCGCTATTAAATACTTACTGATGACTCCGTCTTTTTATCCTTTCCTCCTCCTCCTTTGACTTCAACCTTAGGCGTCTTTTTCATGATGGACGAGAAGACAGGTTGTTCACATAAATATTTATAATATCTCTTGACATTAACTGGTGCTTCTCCACTGGTATACAACTTCTGCCATGCACTATTACCTATATATTTATATAAATATTTGTTATCAGACAAAATAAGATGATGCAATAATCATGAAATGATTTTAAGATATGAAAAAAATGGAATACTGTTTATCTATATTTGTGCAACAATCAATGTGCATGAATAGTTAAACATAGATAGAAGCTGATATACTTTAGTCTGGACAAAATAATTTAGTTGTAAGTTGTTGCTAGTTTTTGAACAGCTTTTAGTTTCTGTTACAGTTAGTTCTCTTAGATCGGTATTTTGTGGTCTTTTGTGTTTATGTTGTTTTTGCTGCTTTTTGCTACCAAATTGATGAATCAAGCAATTTCTCACTGATTTTCAGTTTGTTTTTATTTTGAAATGTAGTACTCACAAAGATGTTTAACAACACCACATTCTTTTTGTCCCTGTCCAAAGTCAGGAACTTATATTCAGTGGTTGTCATTACCTGCTGTCTATCTGTTTGATTTCTTTTTCTTTTGTTGTTTTGTCATAAATGAGGCTGATGGTTTTCTCCTTTCAATTCTTTCACATTTTGTCATGTCAGGGTCTTTTATAGCAGACTATATGGTATGTGTTGTGAGAGTTATAATGGTCTGATGACTCTTGAGGTGGGGGAAGTGAGATGGGAGTGCTTCTTTTGGGTAATAGAGATTTAGCCAACTGTAAACGATTGAGTTGGGAAGTACTTCTTTAGCTCAGTCAGATAAAGCACTGACTTCCAACACAGAGGTCCTGGGTTTGAGCCCTGGATGAAACAATGTGATTTTCTTATGAGAATCATGCTCTTTGGTTACTGTACAAACCAAGATGACAATTACAATTGTAATTTAAGTTGTATGAATATTTTTAAAGTCCACATAAAACAATTAACTTTTACATACTATGTAAGCATTCCCATACTGCAAAATCAGCAATGGTTACACAATGACCAACTAGGTAGGTGATTGGTCCTAACACTGTATCAAGGTAGACAACTGCTGATGTGAAATCATTAGCACATGATAATCTCCCTTGAGCAAACAGCAACCAATGGTCTACCTACAATATATAACAATCAGATATAATTGCTTTATGTAAAACATGATTCAAGGCACTTGGTACTTTCTCAAAGATTTTAGAAAAGGTTGCCATTTGTTACAAACTTTCCCTAGTCATTTTAAGGATTTTGAGAGATAAAATTCTGCACATCAAGCATCCATGTTTAAAAAAATACAAGGGATTCAATTCTATTCTATTCTATTTAGGAAATGTGCAGAAGTTATCATAATTTCCTACTGAAACAAAAGATACATTGTAACCTCTACTAAAATATGACGATGATATGCACAAACATTGTGGATTTGTCCTGGTCATGTCTTGTTGGATATTTTACAATGCCCAGAATGGCTTTATTTAATTTCCATTAATAGCAACCCATATTTAAATCCAAATCATACATACATGTACCACAACAAAAAGAATTATTTTTCTTATAAAGACAACTTACCTCTGTTTTTTCAACAGCTGTATTTCCTTGAATACCAAGGTCTGGAAAACTTCTGGCCAAAAATCGGCAGATTGAGTGGTTCGAACTGAATGAAGTGTTCCTATGAAAATCAATAATCGTAAGTTTAAAATTCAATGCTACTTTTTGTCTGAACAAAGGGTATAATTATGTTTGTATTGTTTCTGCATTTTACAAAGATATTGTTGGGCAAATGATGACTGTATTAGTTTTAAATTTTGCCCTACAAAGACTGTAATTTGCTAATATTTCCATTCATCTGTTTAGTCTTAAATGCACATGTTTAGTGTATTGAAATCAAGCAAACAATTCTACTCAAACAAGTATCAGTCTTGAACTTGAAGTGAGTTGAGAGCTCTTTAACGGAGTTGAAGGCTTCTTTATGACTTAGAGATGAAGAATAGCAATAAAATATATATTCCCTTGTTTTGGGTTTTTCAGGTGTCAATAGGGATTTTGTGTCAAGAAATCCACCATCCCTTTATTTAAAACCATATTGCAATCACATTATTAGTTATTGGTCTTTTTTTTGTTATCAAGTGATTTATCATGATCAGGATTCCAGCAGTACCTGGATATTTCTCAAATTACTCAAACCTACAGATGCCAAAGGGCACTTTCCAATAGGCTATTTCTGGAATCTTGTCTTTCACCGGAAAAGATCGTCAATTTTGCACGCCTTTATAACGTCATTTACCAGATAGAAGGCGCGCCTGTATCCCTGCTCTATTAAAGTTTCAAGCACTTTCAGAATCGTCATTCTGCAGGGTAGTCTAGAAATAATTTACGTTCCGTAAGTACGTAATCTTAATTCCCGTACGACTGAAGGGAGGGTGACCAACTTATTAGATTTAATTTCCCAAATAATTTGTGCAGTATAAGATCAAACTTTTTCACCTGTTCGCTCGACATGTGTTGGAAGTGACGATGCCTACATTTTGGTCACGAGGTGATGGAAGTCACATGACAGATTCAACTAACTACCATATCCCGGAACTGGCGTATACTTTCAACCAAGTTTAGATACAGATGTCAACTTTCCGTAAAGACAAAAATCTTCCAATATTTACTTCTTATCATTTTAGTAGTAGTTTTCATTCATTATTTTTCATTTATATTATAAAATGACCATCTAATTTGTAAGCAGATTTACAACTGAACTTTTAGAGTGCATGTTTCAAGAAAAATCTCTAAGTTTGCTTGTTTGACTTGCAAAATAGACTGGTGAACCATTAGTTGTTTACTAGTCATTGTAAATATGGAAGCAGACTGGTCAAACAGGTTTTACAAGTATTTCTTTTTCTACCTGTCCCATGATTGCCTGGTAATTTTGATTTTACGGTATTCCATCAAACAAACAAACTGAAATTCAGTTTTCTATTTACACACTCAAATATATATTCTTTAACATATACATACATAATAAATGTTTTGACTAGTTTTACATGTCTGCCTTACATTTAAAATACATTTTATCACAAACAACAACTTCGATTAAAGTATACAATAAAAATATTTTCATGTGGTTAGTCCCTAACCTCATATCAAAGTTGATTCCCAATTCCTGCAAATGAAAATTAGTGAGCAATAACATGTAGAAACTAATCTGAATTGTCACAATCATAATAAAATGCTCCGCTGGGCGCAGCTTGATACGACCGCAGAGGTCGAACCCTGAACAGTTGGGGGAAGTATGGACACAACATTCAAGCTTGATACAGCTTTGGATTTGGATTGTGATTAAATATTGGACACAGCATAGGTTTCTAACACAGATTGAATGTGGTCTAAGAACTTAAAAATTTTAAATTGGACATTCACCTATTATGGTCCAATATCCAAAATCTAAATACATGGTTAGATTCAGCATATCAAAGAACCCCAAGAATTCAATTTTTGATGAAATCAAACAAAGTTTAATTTCGGACCCTTTTGACCTCAATGTGGACAAAGTTGATAACGGGGCCCAAAAATCAAAAATCTAAATACATGGTTAGATTCAGCATATCAAAGAACACCATATATTCAATTTTTGTTGAAATCAAACAAAGTTTAATTTTGGACCCCGATTTGGACCAACTTGAAAACTGGGCCCATAATCAAAAATCTAAATACATGTTTAGATTCAGCATATCAAAGAACCCTAAGAATTCAATTTTTGTTAAAATCAAACTAAGTTTAATTTTGGACCCTTTGGACCTTAATGTAGACCAATTTGAAAACGGAACCAAAAATTAAGAATCTAAATACACGGTTAGATTCGGCATATCAAAGAACCCCAATAATTCAATTTTTGATGAAATCAAACAAAGTTTAATTTTGGACCCTTTTGACCTCAATGTGGACAAAGTTGATAACGGGGCCCAAAAATCAAAAATCTAAATACATGGTTAGATTCAGCATATCAAAGAACCCCATATATTCAATTTTTGTTGAAATCAAACAAAGTTTAATTTTGGACCCCGATTTGGACCAACTTGAAAACTGGGCCCATAATCAAAAATCTAAATACATGTTTAGATTCAGCATATCAAAGAACCCTAAGAATTCAATTTTTGTTAAAATCAAACTAAGTTTAATTTTGGACCCTTTGGACCTTAATGTAGACCAATTTGAAAACGGAACCAAAATTTAAGAATCTAAATACACAGTTAGATTCGGCATATCAAAGAACCCCAATAATTCAATTTTTGATGAAATCAAACAAAGTTTAATTTTGGACCCTTTGGACCTCAATGTGGACCAATTTAAAAACGGGGCCCAAAATCCAAAAACTAAATACACGGTTATATTCAGCATATTAAAGAACCCCATGAAATCAAGAATAAAACCCCATTGAAATTGGTCAAGAAATAAGCAATTTAAAGGAAGTATCTTCTTTTGCACAATCCTGTGCTATTAAATATTTCTTGCTATTGCGCAATACTGTACAATTGACAATTTCTTGCTATTGCGCAATATTGTGCTATTGGATATTTCTTGCTATTGCGCAATACTGTGCAATTGAAGATTTCTTGCTATTGTGCAATACTGTGCAATTGAAAATTTCTTGCTATTGCACAATACTTATTATCTCCTACCATATCATTATTATTTGATTTTAAATATAAATCAGAAATAACCAACTTAAAATGGAAAATTTTAAAAGAAACAAAAAAGGAAAAAAAGAAAAAAAAGGAAAAAAAAATAAATCCCCCCCCCAAAATTTTTTGAACCCCCATTATGATTCATCACCCCCAAACTCAATCCCAGCCTTCCCTTTGTGGTATGGTACCTTGCAGTACAATTTCAGAGAGATCCATACACTTGAACACAAGTTATTGTCTGGAAACTAGAAAAAAATGTGTTTTTTGGCCCCTTTTTGGCCCCAAATTCCTAAACGTTTAGGGCAATTACCCTCAAACTCAAACCCAGCTTTCCCTTTGTGATATGGAACCTTGTAGTACAATTTCAGAAAGATCCATACACTTACACACAAGTTATTGTCATGAAACTAGAAAAATGCTTGTTTTTTGCCCCTTTTTTGGCCCCTAATTCCTAAAATTTGGAGGCAATTACCCCCAAAATCAATCCCAGCATTCCTTTAGTGATATGGAACCTTGTGGTACAATGTCAGAGAGATCCATACACTAACACACAAGTTATGTCTGGAAGTTACAAAAATGCTTATTTTTGGCCCCTTTTTGGCCCCTAATTCCTTTACTGTTATTACCATAACCCCCAAAATCAATCCCAACCTTCCTTTTGTGGTATTGAACCTTATGGTAAAATTTCATGGAGATCCATTCACTTAAACAAAAGTTAGAGTGCGAAAACCAATGTGTCTTCGGACGACGCCGGACGACGACGACGACGACGCCAACGTCATACCAATATACGACCACAAAAATTTTTTTGCGGTCGTATAAAAACTTACTTATCAACTACCAATGTTGTACTATTTCCAAGCTCTATCTTGACAGACTTTCCTGCTTTCACTGCAAACTCTGCCGTCAATAAGGCAGCTGAAATACATTAAAACATCAATAAGCTGTTATTGCAGAATATCAGTATGAGCAGAAGTTAGCTGATTGCCCTTTTGAGATAGAAATGAGTAGGTATGATATGGTCACTTTTTTAGTTCCTTGAATTCCAAAATAATTCTTTAAATGTTCACGATATAAATCTGGCAGATGCTGCTGTCAGAGTAAAATGTGTAATGTCCAGATTACCCTGTACTCAATCTGATTTGTATCTTTCAAATGGTTAATAAAATGCTCTGCTGGGCACAGCTTGATACGACCGCAGAGGTCGAACCCTGAACAGTTGGGGCAAGTATGGACACTACATGTACATTCAAGTTTGATACAGCTCTGGTTTTGGATTATGATTAAATATTTGACATAGCATAGGGTTCTGACACAGAATGAATGTATCAAAGAACTGGAAAAATTGAAATTGGACTTTCATGGCCCTATTTCCAAAATATAAATACATGGTTAGATTCAGGTTATCATAGAACCCTAAGAATTTGATTTTTGATGAAATCAAACAAACTTTAATTTGTGGACATCGTGTAAATGTAAGTTGTCTGCTAAAATAGTCGTCTACATAAGGCGAAAAACGATGACATATAGTGGCAATAAGTTTACTTTATGTTCATCCGTCGTTGTTAAATGTGGAGAGACAAAAGTCAAAACATTGACAATAAAATGCTCCGCTGGGGCGCAGCTTGATACGACCGCAGAGGTCGAACCCTGAACAGTTGGGGCAAGTATGGACACAACATTCAAGCTTGATACAGCACTGAATTTGGATTGTAATTAAATATTTGACACAGCATAGGTTTCTGACACAGAATGAATGTGGTCTAAGAACTTAAAAAATTTTAATTTATCTATTCAAACCATATCATTATTATTTGCTTTTATATATAAATCAGAAATAACCAATTTAAAATGGAAAATTTTAAAGAAAAAAAAAATCCCCCCCCCCCCAATTTTTTGAACCCCCTTATGATTTATCACCCCCAAACTCAATCCCAGCCTTCCCTTTGTGGTATGGTACCTTGCAGTACACATACATGTGATGGACTGTGAAACTAAGATCAGGAGTTTGGGAAATTTTGGTCAGGAGATTAGGACTCAGATCAGGAGGTTTTTAATCGACATAAATTCTGTCGTAAATGTAACCGTGTGCTGTAGAAATTGTCTGTTAAAGTGTGTTTTCTTCAACATTCCATCCGAATGTATTATGTTTATAGTACCCTTGTACTTATAAATTTTCTCTATCTTTTTAAACTTTCAACTTGTTCAATCTAACATTCTTCTTTTTTAGTATGTTCTTTACATTTTTTAGGTCATATCTTTTTTGCCATTATTCATTGCAATCAGAACATTTGCTTATCTATCTGCAAGTAGATCTTTTATTTTTATCTTTATGCAAGTAGATTTTTAATGCATAATAAGTAACAAATACAAACTATTATCATGGGTCATAGTTATTATATAAATTTCACTTTAAGCCTTGAAAGGAAGTATAGAACCCTCAAATAATTTTCAAATTATTATTTTTTTTATTTGTCCTATGACATTTAAAATCATTTAATTACCATCCTATTATGATTATTTGTTCAATTTATATTTTATTTATATTCTTTTAAAAATTTACATTATTTAAAGGAAAGTAACTTAAAACAGGATAAATCAAGGGAAGTAACCCAACATTCATTTTAAATACACAAAGTTTTATTACACAACGGCAGTTAGCCTGAGGTAAAAATCGTTGAATACCAGTATGTTTGACACCCAAGGTGACAAGTGAAGCCATATAATTATGCATGTTAATTGATTTACAGGTAAAATATAACTTCAGGTAATGTCAGTTACACCAGATATGTCGGGCTGAAATTTTTCATTCATGAAATATTTCATACATGGGATTTATTTGTCTTCAACAGGAGGTCGGGAGGAGACCCCTGAAAACGGGATTATTGTACTCCCGTCGGGAGGTTCACATGTATAAACTGTACAATTTCAGAGAGATCCATACACTTGAACACAAGTTATTGTCTTGAAACTAGAAAAATGCTTGTTTTTTGGCCCCTTTTTGGCCCCAAATTCCTAAACATTTAGGGCAATTACCCCCAAACTCAAACCCAGCTTTCCCTTTGTGATATGGAACCTTGCAGTACAATTTCATAAAGATCCATACACTTACACACAAGTTATTGTCCTGAAACTAGAAAAATGCTTGTTTTTTTGCCCCTTTATGGCCCCTTATTCCTCAAATTTCTAGGGAATTACCCCCAAAATCAATCCCAGCCTTCCCTTTGTGGTATGGTACCTTGCAGTTCAATTTCAGAGAGATCCATACACTTGAACACAAGTTATTGTCTGGAAACTAGAAAAATGCTTATTTTTGGCCCCTTATTCCTAAATGTTGTGGGCAATTACCCCCAAAATCAATTCCAGCTTTCCCTTTGTGATATGGTACCTTGCAGTACAATTTCAGAGAGATCCATACACTTACACACAAGTTATTGTCATTAAACTAGAAAAATGCTTGTTTTTTGCCCCCTAATTCCTAAAATTTGGAGGCAATTACCCCCAAAATCAATCCCAGCATTCCCTTTGTGATATGGAACCTTGTGGTACAATGTCAGAGAGATCCATACACTTACACACAAGTTATTGTCATGAAACTAGAAAAATGCTTGTTTTTTGCCCCTTTTTGGCCCCTAATTCCTTAACTGTTGGTACCATAACCCCCAAAATCAATCCCAGCCTTCCCTTTGTGATATGGAACCTTGTGGTACAATGTCAGAGAGATCCATACACTAACACACAAGTTATGTCTGGAAGTTACAAAAATGCTTATTTTTGGCCTCTTTTTGGCCCCTAATTCCTTAACTGTTGGTACCATAACCCCCAAAATCAATCCCCACCTTCCTTTTGTGGTATTGAACCTTATGGTAAAATTTCATAGAGATCCATTCACTTAAACTAAAGTTAGAGTGTGAAAACCAATGTGTCTTCGGACGACGACGACGACGCCAACGTCATACCAATATACGACCACAAAATTTGTTTGCGGTCGTATAAAAACCGGTTGTGTCGATATCACGAGGATGAAACACGGAACGATGTCTAGAGTGAGTAGTCTAGACACCGAAAGCTACAAGCTTCTAAAAACGGACATGGTTACACTTAGCTGTTGAACTGAAGCTCTTAGACCCTTATGATATTGTTTGACATTTTGTGGACATTGTCAAAAAATATCACAAGGACCTAAGCTCTACGGTTCTGCAACTAGGTGTACACTATGTGAGTGATAATCTGATGGGAACATTAACATTTACACCTGGTATTGAAGAGGCTTTTAGAATAGTCAAAAAGTTTGATAAAAATTTAAAATATACATGAACATCTTATACAGTACACAGAGATGTAGATGTTAGTCTGACAGCCGATAAAAAATGCAAATACTTAAGGTACAACAAAATCTGCATTTGATTTAATGATGAATTCCTCCAACACGAAGAAATATCCTACACCAAAGGATGCCTCATAAAATTTTTTTTACAGGTATGTTCAATGCAAATGAAATGAATTCTCTCAAAGAGGAGATTGGTTCCTTTAGGATAAGGGGAACCTTCTCCCATCTCCTCTTTGCTTTTTTTTTATAACCTGGGTTTAGGGTTGGGGGGAAATCCCTTATCATATGGGGGAACCCCTGCCCAAATTTTTTTAGGGGTACGTAAAAAACATCTCCCCGATTCAAAAAAAAAGGGGGCTGTGAAATACAAACAAAATGATTTCTGGTTTCCCTAGGATAATGGAACTTTCTGCCATCTCATTGTTGTTATCACACCAGTTGGTAGATTTAAAGATCTGTTTTAACCTTTGTTCATTTTCATAATAATGTATCATATTTTGCAAATTTGCGACATACATTTGTAACTTTTTGAAATTATGCAAGTCAGAAACATTTTTGATGTGCATGTGTATCAAAATATAAAAACTTCATTTTTCTTGAACTACACAAAAACTCCAAATAAATGTAACTCTTTATATATAAAAGTCATTTAATAAATCAAAAGAAAACTGGAAACGTCAACATGTCACGAAATAGAAGTTCCGTCATAATACAAGTTCTAAATGGAATAAATATTGTGGGATATTATTTCCACTGGAATAAATATTACAGTATATGTTCCTAACGGAATAAATGGTATAGAATATTTGTTCCAACAGGAACAGATATTATGACTTTGTTTATAACAAAGTTTCCAGTGGAACTTCTGTTAGGAAGAACAAATATATGTTGACAAACAATGACACAGCAATCAATAGTAAAAGATACCAAATATAAGTGTTTAATTTTTTATTTAATATTTACAAAAATTTCATTTCCTTCCTGTATCAGATGAAAAAAGGTCTTTGTATTAATGGTTTCCTTTTTTTTTACAGGAGATGCATTGCAGGGAAAAGCTTTTGTATGTTTACAATTGTCATGTTCAACATATATTGAGTTTCCTTTCTATTCATCAAGTGTTGCTATCAATGTGCTGCACCCAATGCACCAAGGGATGAAAATACCTTCATGAAAACTGACAAAGCTGTGTTACCAGTTTGCCCAAACTTGTGTGCAGAAGGGAATAGCATAACAAATGCCAATAAAATGACATTTCTTCTACAGCAGTATCTGTCAGACATTCAAATTTAGTTACAAAACAGTCAAATCTAGTCATTGAATAAAAGTCTGAAAGCAATTTTAATTCTATTTTCTCTTTTTCAGAAGAAAATTTTGTGGATTAAAAAAAAAAAAAAAAACTTTTTTTACCTACCTACCTACCCACTTTTGAAAAGTAGGGAAGGGAGAGGGGAAACAAACATATTTTAAAATTTGGCTTGGCCCTAAGAATTTGATGTTTTTTTTAAATCCGGCCAAAAGCTTTCATGTCGATCCGTCCCCACGTGGATCCGGCCCAAGTCGATCCGTCCCACGTCGATCCGGCCCAACGTCGATCCGGCCCAACGTCGATCCGGCCCATATCTAAAGTCGATCCGGCCCAATAAAAAAATATATTTATAAGGAATGAAAATAAAGATATATATTAATTGTAATTCATAAATGTTTATGAATTTTATTATAATGTAAAAGGTGTACGGTAAAACAAAATGGCCTTTGACAAATATTTTCTTTAGCTGATACAAATTTTGTTTTTGTTTTAAGTTCTTAAAACTTCTCAAATTGAGAAATGTTGTTTGATTTGCCGAATCCTTTCTATAAAAGAGGAGACAGAATGCGTTTGCTTTTAATATCACAATGGCTTTTCCTTGTGTGGTATGTAAAAAAATGAAAAAAAAAAAAGAAAAAAAAATGTGTGGTATGTGACCAACCATTGTTAAAAGTTTTTGAGACTAGAGACTCATTTGCCTAATCGAATACTTTTAGTTAAACATGTCAGGCAGACCGACAAAGTTTGAACTATATATCAAATACATAATACATCTGACGAGAAATTGAGTATGGAAACTTCCACACAATTACCAGATGATATAACAGCAGTCATTTCTCTCGTTGAGAGTCAACCTGCCGATTGGATACTAACCAAACGGAATGGCAAATACTCGATCAAGATAAAACGGCGTCAAATCGAAAGACAGAAAACTGTGACGAAAAAGAGGTCATCAAAAGCAATTCAAGATAGAAATAACCGTCGACGACAAGCTTTCCTCTCTCGCAAAAAACAACAACAGTCAGGAGGCCCGACTTTAAACACCGAGGAGCTGGAAACATTAGCTATTTTGTGTGTGAATTAAATAAAATAAAAATCGCCATGACATTCAAAGTTATCATGGAAAATAACTTCATATTAATATGCTGAAGCTGCTAAACAAACAGACACAATCACACTCATTTTCGTATCGATGTAAAATAATTCTTTGACTGGTAACCCTCCAATACTTCACTTACCTGTTGTCATCCATCAACGATACTTTTTACAAATTCCATTTATACTGTTAAAATTTGTCACAAAATCCTCCAAAGTCAATATAGTTTATTCATATTTTATTATGGGGACGGATCGACGTGGGCCGGATCGACTTGGGACGGATCGACTTTGGGCCGTATCGACTTGGGGCCGGATCGGTTTGGGGACGGAACGACCGGATACCGGCCAAAATACTACAAATTTTAAATAGAAATAGTTGCGATGTAACTATTTACACAAGGTTACTTCTTTTTGACACATCACATTGAAAATGACAAATAAATTATCCCTCAAATATGCCTTATTTGTGCGGAAACGTCAGTTTTTGGTAAATTTTCAATATTTCCAACAGTTTTTTACATAATTTACTTTGGACACCATCCCTGAACCAGAATGTTTTGTGTCTAGGGATTGAATATCATGATTGGCAACTTTTGGCTACTGAACATTTTTGATCGCCTCTGGGTGTGGATTTTCTCACTGTGTTGAAGACCCTTTGGTGACAAAATCTGATAGACCTACGTACTAGGGGGCAACATAAATAGCAACTAATAAAGACTTCTAAGTTCTATAAATATTCTTTTTATCCGACCACCATCTCTGACTGGAATTCACTACCTGAAGCAATAGGTATGTCTGACACCCTGGAATCCTTCAAAAATGGCATATCCACTGTAACATTTGAAGGACCCACACCAACTTATTAAACTACCAATGCCACTGTACATAATGTATTTACGTAATTCCATAGATTATTTTTCTTTATTGTTTATATTAATTTTAATTAAGTTCATATGTACATAGCACACAACTGTTTACACTGCTACCTAGGAGTCTACTCCCGTATTCGGAAGAGGAAGAAGTGGCCTTGGGGTGTTTTCTGCTCTTTGACTTTGCCTTTAGGCTTTGTCGGGTTGTTGTCTCTTTGACCAGGTCAGGAATAACCACCAATTGGTGGATTATACCTCAATTGACGTATAATCCACCAATTGACATATAATGGTATAGACCAATTGACGTATAATTCTTTGTTTTTCAAAGCAAATTTTTCAACCAAAATGGAGCATTGTTTTCTTAAAACCATATTATTGTATGAAAACATGTCAAACATTCCTAGTTTAGTATAGTGACATAACATATTGCATTTAATCAATAATTGTATTTGCAGTTTCTTCTATTGTTATCTTGTCAATTCTTGATTGGCAAATTTACCACTAATCACCTGTCAATGGACATCAATACTGTCTGTAGTCATGTGATTATGAGTACAACTCCACAGGTGAATGGAGCTCTTTGTTAATACTTGACTTTCATTATTAAAAGTCAATCATGGTCAATAGTACAGATGTTTCAACAAAAGAATTGTTGTACACATGCATTCTCAAGAGGTGCAACAGGCTTTGACAAAACTGAAACTTTCGGAGGACTCAATAATGGTCATAAAATAGGTTGTAAGTTGCAAAATGATGCTCCTATCTCACACTAGCATTTTATAACAAAAAAACTTGCATTATACGTCAATTGGTCTATACCAATATATGTCAATTGGTGGATTATACGTCAATTGAGGTATAATCCACCAATTGGTGGTTATTCCTGACCTGTTGTCGTGTTGACACATTGTGACATTCCCCGTTTCCATCCTCAATTCTTTTAAGTAGATATTCTTTTCACATTTTCTTAATCAGAACAAAGATAGTCTTACCAATAGCAGGTTTATCTTTCGATGTGGAAAAAGAAAATGCCATATTTGGAGACTTTAGTGTTGCTCTCCTTCGCCGGCGTGTTTCGTCAGCCTAGTTTAGTCCTTGAAAAGCTTTCTTGATATAATATTTTTATTTTGATAAAAAACGTGTAAAGGACCAGGACAAATAATATTGAACAGAAAAAATGTGCCGGAATAACTACGGAAAAGTTCCGATATTTGAACTGGTATCTTTTATTTTTATAACTTTTCTTCCTTTGCATAAATCTATTTCAGAACCAGTGCGAATCCTAAACAGCCATGGGAAACCTCGTCATCGTTGGCGCCTGGTGCAGAAATTGCGTTTAAAACAGTAATTATGTACTCACAAAACTGAACAATATTATTTTATTTTCCATGTATTTGAAGTGTTTTCCCCTTACACTTACAGATTACTGGTGTTAGAAAACATGGAAAAAAATCAAAACTAAAAATCTTTAAATTTATACCGTCAGTGTCACTGTTTAAAACAAGTTAAAATGTTTACAGTAACTGTGTAAGAATTTCTAGTTTCCTCTCATTTTTAATTCTACAGGGGTGAGCACAATATAAGGCAATTATTCCATTTAAAAAACATTGTTTATTAATTTTAAAATTTAGTTTTGAAACTTATCAGTTTTAGCCGGGGCGTTTTTTTTTTGTTCTTCGGTAGTGAGCCAGAAGATGTTCATTTCTGTTTTTTTTTTGCATTGGGAAGATCTTCTGGCTCTCTTCTACCTCTTCCTTTTAAATAGGTGGTTTAGACGGCAGAGGCACATAACAAACATGGTGTCGCTAAGTCCAAATGACATTGATAAATTTATAAATGCAACTATAATAGAATGTGAGCTTTGTGATAAACGTTTTTATGGTATGGCAGCCTTAGTAGGACATCCCTGTAGGGACGATAAGCGGGATAAATACAAGAACTACACGGACAATAACAGTAAGGGGACTATTGTTTGATATTCTGGGGAAGGGAGGGGGCAGGACGATTTTTTGTGGATTTATTATTCATTTTTATCTGTCGCTAATCATGTCTTTTTTTCAGCTCTTACCAGGCCACTATATTCATATGTAAAATCCTCCTGTCCCCCACCCCATCCCCCCAAAAAAAATATCAAATGGTTTTCCCCTCTTTTAACACAAGTTTAACATGTTTAAATTGATTTATTTTTGGTGGCTTATTTTTAACGTCCAGTGGCAAATATTACATGCATGTTCAGGAAAACACGAGTTTAAAAATCAGGTATATAATATAAAAAAAGCCTTTAAAGGAGATGTGGTATGATTGCCAATGAGGCAACTATTCATCGGAGTTCAAATGAATGGATGTAAGAAATTATAAGCAACCTTACGGTTTTCAGCAATGACAAAAACCCATACTGTATAGTCGGCTATAAAAGTCCCGACATGAAAAATGATAATCAATTCAAACGAAAAATCTAATGGCCTAATTATATATAACAAAACAATTTACAAAAAATCAAATATGAGTCGACAGATATGAACCAACGACAACCACTGAACTACAGACTCCTGACTTGGGACAGGCACATAAAGAATATGGCAGGGTGAAACATGTTTGTGAGCGCTCATCCCTCCGCTAAACTGGGATAGTGGTGTATCAGTACCACATGAACAAACTGTAAAAATCAGTTGCAATTAGATTAACTCAAAAGATCGGTACGAGACTCAAAAAACAAATAACATTAAGACAATAGACACAAAGCACCGAAATAAGAGTATTTGCAGCTAATGAAAGTTTAAAGCTAATTACAAATAACACTGAAATAAATCTCCCAGATTAAAGTATCAATCAGTACACAAGCAACAGATTTAGTCATGAACAGTCTGAGAAACACCATGACCTTGTATACATGTACATGCATATACAATTAATGTTTTTGAAAAGTGGTGGTCCAAAGGTTTTGCCCATCGAAATTTTGCAATAGAAATAATAGTTAGGACCAGCAGAATTTCTTCAAGGACCACCAGGATAAATGATTTTGAGATTTCTGCGATGTCTTTGCTTTATACAAAAATAATCCAGTTTGGTCACTTTAAAAAAAAGTGGATAGACAAGATGTCATTTTCGATCATATGCCAGAGAAACATTGACAAATTCTTGTACAGTTTGAGATTATTCCTGAAAGTCAAATGGTCGGGGCTTTAAGCCGGATTTGTTTAGCAAAATTAAGTAAGGACAGCATAAAGAAAAAAATGTCACGAACACAATGATTACTTCCAACCAATTTTCTTTGTTTTTACACGTATTGTATAACTGCATCAATGCCAAAACAGAGCACACTATATTATTGTAATGTCTATCGTATCGGAACTAAAGTATCTTAATTTTCTAATGAATCGAATCATCGTAAACTTCATTTATGTAATCCAAAATAAAAAAAATCAGCTATTTTCGCGACAGCAAATTGAATTTTTGTTTTATTGCTTCTTCTACAGAATATCTCCAGAAGAGATCCAGATTCATTTTTTTGGACTCTTCACCAGAAGACATTCTGGAGATGTACAGAAGAGACCAATAAAACACGCCCCCGGTATCAGGTCGGTTCACGCCTAATACACGTTCGCACCCCACATGTTCGCCCCCTGGGTCCGTTCCATCCCTACACGTTAGCACCCTTTTTTTTATTCAAAAACCTGATGAATTATTAGATGTTTTTTAGATGTTTATATCAACTATTTTTATTTTCATAAATAAAAATTTGGGAATTTTTAAATGAAATATTGTTTTAAATTGATTTGATGATTAATTATTATATGTTAATTATGATTGATTACTGTTAATATGGTGTTTACACAGCTAAACTTGGTGCCATTTTATGTGTTTGAAAATCGTGATTGTTGTTTTAACTATCTTTGATGTAAATTCTGCATTGGTGTTATTGTTATGTGTTTGACAATCGTGGTTGTTGTTTTAACTAGCTTTGATGTAAATTCTGCATGTAGTTAGCATGTATTAAGCTTGGTATGAGTAAAAACAATGAAGGTTCAAAATGTTATTGTTGTTGAGTTTAATAGCGGTTTGGTATCTTAACATTAAAAAAATATTCGACACAAAAAACCTTTTTAGAAAGACACTTTATTTTGAAACAATGAAAAAAAAAATTGTAGCAATACACTAACCAAAACACAATTAAAAAAATATTCAACACAAAAAACGTCACTTTATTTTGAAACAATGAAAAAAAAAATTATAGCAATGTAATAACCAAAACACGATTAAAACATTATTCAACACAAAAATCTTTATAAGAAAGTCACTTCATTTTGAAACAATGAACAAAAAAATATTTATAGCAATACACTAACCAAAAAACGATTGAAAAATTATTTAACACAAAACCAATAAAAGGGGAGCGAATGTGTAGGGTGTGAACGTGAAAGGGGTCGAACGTGAATGAGAGCGAACATGTTTTTGGGTGAATGGACCCGGATTTGTTTTAGCCCCTGTATAATAAACAAGGATAATAACAAGTGAGAGGGGTGACACGAATCTGGGTCCTTTCGCCCAAAATCACGTTCGCTCCAATTCACGTTCGCCCCCTTTCACGTTCGCACCCCACATGTTCACACCCTCTTTATTGGTTTTGTGTTGAATAATTTTTAATCGTGTTTTAGTTAGTGTGTTGCTATAAATACATTTTTTTTTATTGTTTCAAAATACAGTGACAGTCTAAAACTATAAGCCGGTTTTCTTTAATGTTTTATTAATTATTTTGACGAAATGAATAATAAATAAAAAAATTGTCATGATGATCATGGCATTGCATGGCAAAGTTCATTCATCTAAGACTTGTAAAGGAAAGGCGGAAGATACCAAATGACTATCAAAATCATCACAATGATTTTGCCACAACAAGAATAAAACAAAAACCTGGCAGGCCACAAATCACATTTTTTTAGGTGTTTATGGTGAATACAGCACAAACAACATTTTCCAAAAGACCAAAAAAATGAAAAAAGTATATTTTAACAAAACGCATTTGACTAGCAGGTCGAACAACGGATGTTCTTAAACCCTGCTGACTGCCATTGGCGATTGCCAAATAAACGGATCACCAGATGTAACAAAATGGATCTTAACTATTAATTTACTACCAAACAGAAAACAATAAACTTGCGGAAAAGATGGTATACTGCAAACAAAAGGTGCAAAAATTAGTACACCATATCCGGATTTCGACAATTAATGTCTCTTCAGTGATGTTAGGAATCAAAACTTTATTTGGAGACCATATAATTTACCTCAATTTCACAAAGGGAATGCTGAGATTGATTTTGGGGGTAATTGCCTCAAAATTTTAGGAATTAGGGGCCAAAATAGGGGCAAAAAACAAGCATTTTTATACGACCGCAAAAATTGAAAATTTTTTGGTCGTATATTGGTATGACGTTGGCGTCGTCGTCGTCGTCGTCGTTGTCGTCGTCGTCGTCGTCGTCGTCTGGCGTCGTCCGGCGTCGTCCGAAGACACATTGGTTTTCGCACTCTAACTTTAGTTTAAATGAATGGATCTCCATGAAATTTTACCATAAGGTTCAATACCACGAAAGGAAGGTGGGGATTGATTTTGGGGGTTATGGTACCAACAGTTAAGGAATTAGGGGCCAAAAAGGGGCCAAAAATAAGCATTTTTGTAACTTCCAGACAATAACTTGTGTGTAAGTGTATGGATCTCTCTGACATTGTACCACAAGGTTCCATATCACAAAGGGAAGGCTGTAATTGATTTTGGGGGTAATTGCCTCAAAATTTTAGGAATTAGGGGCCAAAAAAGGGGCAAAAAACAAGCATTTTTTAGTTTCATGACAATAACTTGTGTGTAAGTGTTTGGATATTTCTGAAATTGTACTAAAAGGTTCCATATCACAAAGGGAAAGCTGGAATTGAGTTTGGGGGTAATTGCCCGAAACGTTTAGGAATTGGGGGCCAAAAAGGGGCCAAAAATAAGCATTTTTCTAGTTTCCAGACAATAACTTGTGTTCAAGTGTATGGATCTCTCTGAAATTGTACTGCAAGGTACCATACCACAAAGGGAAGGCTGGGATTGAGTTTGGGGGTGATGAATCATAAGGG